TCCTCCGAAACGGCTCGGCCGATTTTTACCAAATTTTATATGCGTATTCAGTAGGTTTGAGAATCGGCTACTATCTATTTTACGTCCCCCTAAATGTTAAGGGGGTAATCCACCCCAAATTTTTATTTTTTATATAAAACTTTTTGTTTCTATTTTTTTATGACACAGCATACAAAAATACATACAACCCTAAATTTTCACCCCTCTACGCAGACGTAGTCGCGGGCAGCAGCTAGTAACCTATACTGATTAACCACTTTGTTTTTACAGTTGAGAGCTGTATTCAACTACAGTTTTCTATATAGTGTATATGAAATTTATTTAATTTATATTTGATAACATTGTATATAAAACTGTAATTGGATACAAGCTTGTTATTTTTGTATAAAGTAAATAAAATACAGGAATATGTTTTGAGAATTTTATTTGGTTTTTTATAATATTCACTCGCTATTTTTTTTAATAATATTTGTTATGAATGATTTTGAGTCAGGTGCCGTTTAGTAAAATTATTTTTGGCTATCCAAAATCAGTAAATTTCCTCCAATCGATTGAATCCATGTTTTAAATATTTCACTATCATTTTCATCATGTGAGAAAAAGAATGCAGATTTGCGTTGCAGTCTTTACCTGTAATTACAATATTAATGTTTTGTCGTAACGTATAACATAATAAAATGGTAAATAATGAAAGAAAACCGAATAAAATAAATGAATAATAACCGGCCGCAGTTCAGTGTTACCAACTGTTGAAAAAAGCTCCTAAAGAAATTCAAAAACCTCCTAAAATACACTGTTTTCAAAAAAAATTCCTAAATGAAAAAATTACCTTTTTTAAAATTACCTAACAAGCTAGAATAATTATCGAAAAGTTTAATTAGCTCGGTAATCAAAACTGTTTTATTTAAAAATTAACTTAATTAATATACTTGACCTTGAACATTGTTCATTGACTTGAAAAATATTTACACAAATTAAATACATTTTAATGTGACGTTATAATCATTTTCATTATTTTTAAGAATCAGACAATAAAAATATGGGAATAAGTATCATTCAATTATAAAAGAACTGAACGAAACATACCTACCTTTAAATTCATTGTCTTTTCCCACTTAGCTGCGTATTTTTGAACATATGCGATAGCAATTTATAAAACATGGCATTTTATATTACTTATTAAATGAATTTAATATTTATGAGTAGCTGTATATTCACAATAAGAGTTTATAGAAGAACAATTTAAAATACTACATAGGCCAATGCTGCCAATACTATTACATTATATTTTGTGTTTAAAATTGTGTAATTTTTTTTAAATGTAAGTAAAATTTTATTCCTAAAAAGATTCCCAATAAATTTCTACTCCTAAAAAATTTCTATTGTAAATTTTTCTTCCTAAATTTAGGAAGAAAACTCCTAAGTTGGCATCCATGCCGCAGTTACGTCGGTAACGTTCACTGTTTAAAATTACTTCCAGCATTTTGCTTAGTTGTTTTCTTTCAATTTAATAATTTTAATTAATTAAATTGAATTTTCTCCAAAATAAGAACCATACATATTTTTTTTATAAATGTATTTTAACTTAAAATAAAATTGTTTTTAATTTAATGGTACCATAGTAAAAATGGTTTTGCCTTTAAAACAACGCCATCTGTTTTTGACGGATGGAACTAAACGGAATGAGCAAGCTCCATACATATTATATCAAATGTAGTGACTGAAAAGACCGTGGATTTTAATGAAACTACAATAATATAGCTTATACATAAGAATAAGACATAGGCTATAATTTATATACATATTTTATGTAAGTATATCTGTCTTTCTGTCTGAATGTTACGCTTTCAGTCTATTCTACAAAGACGTAGTCGCGGGTAGCAGCTAGTACAAGATATTATAAATATTTTTTCTTGTATTTTATTTCCAACAAGTAATTATATATTTTATACGGTGAACATGTTTAATCCATAACAGGCAGAGGTAAAATTCAAAGTAATGCATTGGTACAACGTAAGATGGCGTTGCCACTGTCAACATTTGAGCAACGGAAAATCAAGTGGACCGTCGAGATTGGTAACCTGCCGGCGTACACTTTCGCGCCATATGAGAAACATCTAAGTCATGGCAAATGTAAGTTTCACTTTGTACAAAATATTTTAAAAATGTTTACTGTAAAAATGTTTTATGTGTATGAACAAGAATATTAATAAAAATTGCAATAGCGAAATGTTTTCTACAAGTGGATAATTTAAAGCAAAATAATGTTACTTTTCGAGTAATTTTTTTTGATCTGATTAGAGCATTGTGCTTACATAAGTGAGCCACGTAATATGAAGACGATTCAGTCATATGAAGACGGCTACACGGCAGTCTGAGCATGAATTAATAGGGGTAGGGACCACAAGACCACATGGAGGCGGGGTGCTCTGTGTCGGATCTGTGACTCATTTTGAACCTAACTTAATTTACATAAAAATCACGATTAAAACCTATCAGCTTGAGTTAAGTCAAATTCAATTTGTATCAGTTTATATTTCACCATGATGACGTTAAGGGCTTTTAATAAAATTTGTAATCGAGTTTCGAAATCGATATTAGCATATTGGCTGTATCATTATTTTTGATAATGTAATAATGCATGTATAAGCAAGTAATGTGTATGCCTAATTGTATGTCAAATTTAAAACCAAAAGAATTTCCCGCTCACTTATATTAAACAAATATGTATATACCTACACTATTGTATTAGTCTTATTTTTTAATAAAAAAATTATTTCATTCGGAATGAAATCGTTCAGTACTTTTAAATTTTTTGTTTTATCATGAATTCTTATAAAAAAATTTGAATGTTTTAAGTGTGGACAAGACAGTGTTTTACGGAAGGTTTTAAATGTGAAAATGTTGACAATAGTAAAATGGTGGATTATCTTAGTAGAAACAACAAGATTTAATTATGTTTTTTCTCGAAAACTAGAGGTGACTACCGAATTCTACTTGTTGATTAATTCGTAAGTGATATGTCTCTATAGTTCTCTATCGTTTAAATTTTTCTTTTGTTTGCTATATAAAAGTAGTGGGCTGCTGAAATTTTACCTGTTTAATTATAATTATATCCCGACGTACAAATTGATAACATGAGATGTTTCATTACAAATTTTAATTACCTTTGATTATATACATGTCATTTCATCCAGCCTGCATTTATCCTACTTGTGATATCTCGGTCAATGGCGCCGTCGTTTTGAACCAATAAGCCGAGATACTTAAAATGGGAGCAGACTGGATGGTTTACGCCTTATAAAGCTGTATTTGAGAAAATGGATGTGCTACCGAAACCGCGAAACAGGTGTTCTGTTCTGGTTACACTTATCTTTATCCCAATGCTTGCTAGTCTCTCCCGCCATTTATCCAGGTACTCTTTTCTCTTTCAAAGCCCACCACAAAACCTGCCGGGGTATATGGTCGTATGCCATACGGGGTATGCCTTCCAGAAACACCATGTGCAAGCTTATACGCGCACGTCTGTATTTTTCGCATAGCTGGCGGAGTGTAAATGTGGCGTCCATTGTCCTACTACTACTCTCCCACTACTCTCCTCTCTACTCTACTCTCCTGTCTCATACTTCTTTCTATTATCTTCTCTAAATCTTCATACTATGTGACATGAGCTTTATTACCCCTATTGCAGTCCTGTACATCACCCTTGTTTTTATAAATAGGCACCAGTCAATTTGCACCATTCGCTTAGATCGCCTCACTCTGCAATAATTTATTAGAAAATAAAGTCAGCCACTTGAACCAATCGGCTTTTAAACACTTCTATGCTTTAACAGATATACCATCCGGCCCTATAAATCCATGTTACGTTATTAAACTGTTTTCAATTTCATTCAATGTCTTTTCACAAACAAAGAGTACTGAGACAGGGGTTAAAGATTTTATTTATTTTTATTTTGTCGTGCTTACATAAGTACCGCAGTTTTTTTATCAATTAAATATAAATATCCAATTACAGATGTTATTATATTAATGCTAAGTACACTTTACACTAACATCTACCATCTTACTTAAATAAAAAGTTGGTCCTTATTAACATTATGTGTAACATATTATGTTGCTGTTGTATCAAACCTTCAAAAGTTTATTAGTAAAATAGCAACGTATGTAATAATAAAGAGAATTGTCACTTAAATATCACTGTAAAATAATGTCCAAATCTTTAAAAGATCGATACGAATACCCGTATTTTAAAATTCCTATATAACGATGTAAATAGAACACTTAATGCATTTTATTTTTTTATATACATATTTAATATTTTTATTATTGTATAATAGTAAGAAAAAAATGTATTCTGTTAAATACCTAACTCCATAAATTGATTAGTCGATATTGATTTTGGAGATGAGTATACATTAAAACGATTGGTGCTTTAATAATTTGTCCCACAAAAAACATATATAGCAATATTTTCTATGTTAAGGTAAATGGAGATATATAATATGTTTCGAATAAAGTAATGGAATAATTCCACCTATATTCACTTTTCCCTCCTTCTCCAAAAACTTTTGACTTATAAGTTTAAATCAGAATCATTAATAATCTGTGCGGTGCCGTGGTAACAGGGCGTCACTAGGCAGCGCAACACAACACCCGCTCCCCGTTCCCCTTGTCTTGTGTCATCTTGTTTGAAGTTCAATTTGTTTGTAGTTCGTCGCTGCCGTCCGAAAAAATGCCTTAACTTTTTTACAATTTGTATACCATTTCCGATTATTCGTACTATAAAAGCGATTAAGTGTTTTTTTTTAAATTGTGCACATGGTTGTAATTTAAATATAACTTTGACGCTAAAAGTTAGTGTTTGGAAAACTTTGGGCAAACTTTAAGAAAAGTTTTAAAAGTGGTGTGTACGTGTGTTGTCATGTTTCAAAAAGTTTATTTCATAAATAAAACTTGATAAAAACAGTCAATAGTGAAGAAAAGAGCCTTTGATTAATATGGAGACAAGTACTGTTGGTAAGTTCTATCCGGGGGCGGGTGCGGTAGCGCAGCGGTTTGCCTGATCGTACATTACTTAATAAGTTGGACCTTGAGAGTAAGACTTGAGATGTGATGCAATGAAGTAATGCGACATCGAAATATGGGCTCAAAATTATTTACACTACTGCCATTTTTAGCATTCGCTGACGAATTTATCTTATCTACTGTGTACATAAGGTTTGATAAAATTGGAGAGACATTCCATTACCATCTCAGGGATTATCCTCAATAAAATATGTTTAAAACTTATTGAGTTTTCTTTAAATGCAAATTATTTAAGATATCATAATATTTAAAACATTGTTTGTATTACACATAATATGCTCTAGTTAAATGTTAATTATGATCAATAAAGTTTATTTTTTTTTTATTAAATTATTTATCTCTTGTTCTATTTCTTTTAAATTTTATTATTTTATTAAAACCATATTTTAATATAATTTCACTGGAATATAAATATACAGAAATTCTAACTGGAAATTTAGTATCATCGAGATAGTTCAGTCGTTTTAATCAAATAAAGAATGTAAGCAAGTATGGAGCTAGCTGATGTAGTGTCCACACTAGCAGAATGTGTCATGCACTAGTTGTGTTAAAGAAAGCTGTCTCAAATGCTATCTTACTCATGCTCACCTTACAATGGATCATATTCTTCTTGCAGTGTAAAATGTTGCATCAATGCAACACAATGTAGATATTTAATGGGTGTCATCAAAACATTTGATTCATAATTGGTTCAAATAATTGACATGTACTTTAATAAACATGAAAAGTTTCAGTTATCTTTTTTTGTCTAGATGTTATTTGATGTTTATTATGATCATTATGTAATGAAAAGTGAATTATTTGGAATGGAATTTGGGCCAAAAATTCAGTTTATGTCTTAATATTATAGATAATATTAATTGATACTAAAACATAATCAACAGCATAATGCTGCTACTGTATCGGAAATAACAGTAGTTTTTAATACTGATAGCATAATTTATTATGCTATTGGTTATTTTTAAATAGTGTGGTAACTATTATCATTTAAACTCTTAAAGATGTCTGAAATATTTATGTTTATGCGAGAAGGGAATCTTTACTTATTTGGGAAGCATACAGTTTTCTTAAATTATAATTATTATAAATAATTTTTACAAATACCAGTTAATAAATTAATCTTAAAAGAAAATCATAAATGAAAAGAGCACAGAGTTAAATAAACCAAATTACAAGTAACAAAATAGTGAGAAAAAAAAAATAATACAATAATAATAATAAAAACTTGATGAGTAATAGTCAAAATTGTAACAAGGCAAATAAACAAACAATAAATTATTATTTTTATTTCAAAATTAAAGTGATTTATTATACTTAGTAATTTTGATATTAACTTTTTGGATGAATTGTGGGAAAGGTTTGCATAATTTGTTTTTATTTAAATAGGGCTATAGATATTCCACATGACTGTGAGATTGAAATTAATAAGAATAAATGAATAGTGTTATTAGAGTTTACAAATAAAATAAATATTTAGAATATAAAATTTTCTAATCTGAAACCATAATGGAGAAGACAAAAACATTCCATTTATTTTTCCTAAGCCCATTTTTGATATATAGTATATAAAAAATGAAAAATGGAAAAGTATTTTGAATTCTCTGATCTTCATATGTTATCTCAGATAGGAAGCCTAGGCCAAACTTGTTTTTTTTTTTTTTCTTTACTGGATACAACATTTATAAACTACCGTAACCTAAATAATAAGTTATGTATTTAAAACAATACATAATATATTTTAAATTTAAGTATTTATCATACTTTACATAAGATTACCTTAAAAACATCCATTGTATCAAATTTTCTACATGATAACAATAATAATTTATTGTATATACGCTATAACACATTACTATTTATCGTGATTATTTTTTTGTTTTAATTCCTGGCATTTCAAACCCTTTACAGCATTCATGGACACTAAGATGTCAAACACATCAGTCTGTCCAGTGACCATGAACATTGTAAAGGGTTCGAAACATCGGGAATTAAAACAATTAACGCATTTACAATTAAATCATTTAGTAATAAATTAGTAAAATTAGTAAAAAAGATATTTGTAATTTTAGTGTCATATTAGTTTCGATGGATTGGCTATAAATCAAATATCGAATTTCTAGCACTGGACCATCACAGAGCTAAGCCTGGGCCAAAAATACCAACTATTTAAAACAAGCTGATAAGAGTTAATTCATGGCACTTGTGCTCAATTTGAATGTTAACAATTGCTCAGTGGTGATGTCACTGTACTAATTTCTTCTAATTGAACCATCTTCCATTGGCGATTATTTATATATTATATCTAGATTATATATCTAATTATTTATATAAATTTACTTATATATGCCTTCAAACATATATATATATTTATATATATATATATATATATATAGCTTCGACTTGAGATGTCAATTCATTGACCTTGTATGATGCTTACTGCTCAATTAAGAAAAACCACAAGAACAGCGCATTAAGTATGTTAGACGGCTACGTCAGAATTCACAGCGTCGTGTCGTGATATCGCTCGTCAATATGTCTTGTTGAACGAATGAGTGTCGATTAAGAATGTATGAACGAGTATTCGTTTCAAAAATGCATAAAATGATTTTAAAGTAAAATTTCATAATCGTGTATTCGGGGGCCATACGAGGGAGCATCGGTCCCGTCTAACCGTTTATTTTGCGTTGCGGTCGGTGGGCGCTGGGCGCTAGCATCTTCCGAGGGAGCCATTGCTGCGCTCGTTGAGACTAGTTTTTGCTCTCGTAGCGCTCGTCCCTGTTCTCAATTCAGTGATATCAAGAAACATGTTACGTCAATACTTTTCTCTTAAACTGTACTAACAATATCTGTGCCGCTGGTTGCACGCCCTGTGGAGAGCGGAAGTTGTCGTCTCTAATGAACTGCATGGACAGAGTTAAAAACGTACTGTCAACTCGTACTATTTCGGGTGAAACAACACATGTCGCTTATACGAACATCGCGGCTGAATACGGCAATGACTTTTTATACTTATTTTTGGTTTATTTTCCGCTACTTAAATTTATTTTTATACTCCATAGCTATATAATGTAGTTGTTATAGAAATGTTATTTCAAATGACCAACCATGAATTTTCCCACGTTCTGTACATTTACCTGAAAAATAACTGTGATAAGCGAACCGACATACTGTTAGTGATGGACGGTTGGACAAACCATTATACCTACGATGTTACCTGGAAAGTATAGAGAAAAATGCTACGTTGTAGTGATGATATTTTTTGTAAAAAAGTAGTAAAGTAACAGCCTATACATGTCCCACCCCACAGCTGGGCAAAGGCCTCCTCTATACAGAGGGTATAAGGGCATAGTCCACCACGCAGCCCCACTGCGGATTGGTGGATTTCACATATCTTCGAAATATATATTTTTTTGTTATTATTTCGAAAAGATGCAGGTTTCCTCACGATGTTTTCCTTCACCGCGGAGCACGTAATTCATTGGTGCCGGCACCGGGGATCGAACTCAGGTTGCTCGAGTATATTGAATTAAAGGCGAGCGCCCGGACACTGAGCTATCACGGATATTTTTTGTATATTCAGCTAACTCCACGGCTGAATTTTCTATTCTACTGTATATACAATTGATGCTGTTCATGATGGCTATCTTGTTTATTTTCATGCTTATGTCGATTTTAAAATCATTTTTTTGCGTGCATTGTATATTAGCTTCAACAAATTAAGTTCATGATTAAGAATTACTTTGTTCAAATTTGAATAAAACAAGACGAAGTTCCTAAAAATGGTTTTATTGACTGTGCAGTAATTTTTATGGATTATGTTAGTGGTTTGTTGCACTTATGGGCAAGTTCGTCCGAGAAAGTACCTGGGTGTCACAGAAGACCGCCTCGAAGAGGAAGTATTATACTTTCGCGTTTCGTCTGTTGAGGTAAACGGGGCTCACTTTGTTAATGATTGGCACCGCATGTGCAACCCTATATGAGTTGTAAATATCCATGGGCGGCGGCATAACCTGACATCAGGTTAACCGTATGCTCACTTGCCAACTTTTTTGCTGCCTTACGAGTTCATCATTCCCGGCGCATCTAGCACAATGTTTTTTTTTTTTTTTTTTTTTTTTTTTTTTTTTTTTGGAGAAAAAGGGGCAAACGAGCAGCAAATTTAAAACAAAATTTATGGTCATACAAATGAATCACTCGAAGGCTATCGGCGACGAGAAATTTATTTCATATCAAGTTTTGATAAGTTATAATTCCACGGCATCGACATCGTAAGGCTGCATTTTTACTCTCAGTATTTTTGGAAACAACCAGCAGGTAGTATCATGCATAGTCAGTTAAAAGCAATAGGTATCTCTTATATTATCGTATATACCATCATAAACGGAAATAATCCCGCAAACTCCCATAAACAACGGTGTTTCCACTGTTTATCTCCTTCTTAAACTTTATTTGAATTTCATATTGTGCCTCGCCAAATCCAATCCATTCCAAAAGTATTGTATACTGTATAGAAGAAGAGTCTATACTATATTTTAGCACATGTTTTAATGAGTTGAAACGGCGTTTCGCCCACAACCGAGCGTTTTATACGTGGTAAAAACTTCGTTAGCAATTCAAAAGCGGCCGCATACATCTCAACCCACTCGATTTTCAGCCTTTCGCCAGACACTGAATCGCGTTTTCATGCATTTTATTGTAAAAAAATGCTGGTTTTTAGTCGTTTTATGAAAACATGAATACACCAACAACACAGTCGCCACTATAAGTTTATCAAAAAAATTTTACTTAATAATAATACTTAATAGGCTGCTATCGGAAACTTTATAAATTATTAATAAAATCCCCCTAAATGTGCAAACATATATTATACTAAATAATATTATTTGTTATCCAATAGTTCGTTATCAAAGCAAATTGTTCTTCTCGTTGTTGCGAGAACTAGGTGACTGATAATTTGTTTATCATACTTTTCTTTTGTACATAAATACATGTTACACAAAAATAAACACTCAGGTAGTAGTAAAACACTATCTCTTCTTTTTCTTTAATTAAAGAGCTAGGCTCGTGTCGGTGCAGTATCCCACTAGGTCACCTGAGTAACACCCTCCATCAGCATCCATCCATCTTTCCTCTCTATAGGAACCAACATTTATTTTCTTCTTTATTTGTGATATACCTACATAGAATATCCTCGCTCAAGCTCTATCCCGCTTTCCTTCCTTGATTTGAATCTGTCATGACTTATTAGGTGGCCTATCATCTGTCTATGACATTTATTTAGGCATATAAGTGTATCTTGCTGTATTATAACATTAAAATTATTGTGTAATAAAAGATCGAATACAATCTTAGTGCTCAGAATTCATAAATTTTTCTTTTTTTGTGTGAGAAAGCTGATAGAGATGAGTCACCTGATGTTAAGTGATAACAGCCGCCCATGCATACTTTGTGAAAATCGAAATGTGTGTGAAATCTACAAAGCGTTTTAATTTGAAGGTGTTGATAGCAATGCAACGTGTAACACTATTTATAACAAGATATAATCCTCACATATGTATTAGGCAATTATTAATATTTAACTACCTAGTTTAAAATTTCATTACGACGATGGCTGTTAGAGGAAACATTCTACACCGTAAATAAGTTTTTAAACTGTAGTGACTAAATATTTATAAAAAAAATGATAAGGATGTTTTTAGTTATATGTAAAAAAATCATTGCTTTGCAACTTGATCATGTTGCTTTTTGGGGATCGTTGTGCGCGCGCAAATTTTAATCTCATAATTTTTTCTCTACGCACAGAAACAAGTTTAACTTAAAATAGGTCTATCATCAGATAGAACTACCAAGTTGGAACCGTCTTAAAAGATTTTTCACTATGATTCACAAATGCAACTAATCACTAACTCTGAAAATACACGATAGATGGCACTAAATTACATTAACGTAATAGTTAACATTAGTTGGAACATTCTATTAATTAAATATGTATTAAGAGATTGATGCTAGTTTGAACTTTATCACGAAATCACGAGCCAAAAAATATTTAAATGAATATGTTTATTAAATTTTCGGAACCAAGTTGTTATTTTAGTTATTGGCTTTTATTGACCGGCCGTCTGCCTGACGTCAATCCTCCTTGGCGTTTCTGTCGGCAGTAGGACTGCAGGTGGACTTGTAAGGTTGTTATTTATGTAAAGGTTATTTATCCTTTTTGATAGCGGCATAAATTCTCTGGCGTCTCCCTCACGAGATTGTTTTATATTTTCTGTTATCGTTTTCATAGTTCTAAACATGTAATTTCCAATGCTTCAAAAGCAAGCGTTAAAATTTCGTTAGATTTATTCCGAAAGTCATTTGCTCTTAGTTCGTGTTTCAATACGCAAATTATCTTTAAATTTCCTATGAAAATTGCAAAAGTATGCTATTTGCCTACGACATTGTGCTCGTTGGACACGATGCAGCCAGGTTCCAGAGTAGACTGGAAAAAGGGCGGAAGAGAATGTAAAGCGTTGCTCTAAATATAAGTGACCACCAACCAGAGCACCAAAACAGAACACCTGTTTTGCGATTTCGGTGGCAAATCCAGTTTCTGACATATAGCCTTAAAAGGTGTAAAACTTCCAGTCTGCCCGGATTTTAAGTATCTCGGCTCGTTGGTTCAAAATGACGGCGGAATTGACCGAGATGTCACAAATAGGACAAATGCAGGCCGGGTGAAATGGCGACAGATCTCAGGAGTTACATGTGACCCTAAAACTCAAAGGGAAGATTTACAAGCCGTTGGTGAGGCCTGTCATGATGTATACAGTATATCTCTCAATTCGTAATAGGTAAATTCTCCGACCCACTAATACGTAGAGCTGTGTCATGGGGCTTCATCACCAAATGCCATTTGAGGTCTCTACTAACTTTCTAGTTCACTTAACCAACAGCGAAAATTGCAAAAACATCGAGTGAAAATCTTCTCGTGACCTAAATTCATTGTGATTTCAACACAAAAAAAGAAATTATGTTAAAAGTGTTCTATTTTGGAATTTTTGATTGCAAATGGCCCGTCTTGAAAATTTCGGTATCCCACTTTTGGGAATAAGTAGGGTATGAAATGTAAATGTTATAGGTTTAATAGCAAAAGCTATACCGTAACAGTGACTATTAAAATATAAGAAAAACAAACTCTCTGATATTGTTTTCCTTGTTCTTAAGGATATGAAAATATGGCGTTGTAGCTTACTATCCTTACAACCAATGGCACGTTGTTCTCACGGAATACACCCGTTGTTGACACGTCTTTCTCATTATATGAAACCTAGCTCAAGATCCAGGTCGTTGTAACATTCGCGCCCTGCTTTTGTACACGTGTTAACGAACCTGAAATGAGTTCAACGTAACAAACGCACGACACTGATGTTTTGTTAGTACCGCTACGCTGTTTCGTGTCCAAGATGTCCAAATATTGTGCGCCTTATCGAAAGAGCCGTGATAGCCCAGTGTCCGGGCGCTCGCCTTTAATTCAATATACTCGAGCAACCTGAGTTCGATCCCCGGTGCCGGCACCAATGAAGTTTTTAACTTTAAGTGCTGACTTATCACGTGCTCCGCGGTGAAGGAAAACATCGTGAGGAAACCTGCATATTTTCGAAATAATAACAAAAAAATATATATTTCGAAGATATGTGAAGTCCGCCAATCCGCAGTGGGGCCGCGTGGTGGACTATGCCCTGATACCCTCTATATAGAGGAGGCCTTTGCCTAGCAGTGGGACATGTATAGGCTGTTACTTTACTTTACTTTACTTTATCGAAATTACATGGCGCGGTTATGAATGGGGGTTACTGTCGATAGGTCCCGAAGGTCGTCTGCGTTCGGGCGGGGCAGAACAAATTGTCATAATGTTCACTCGTCCGTGCCAACGGGGCCGTGGCCAAAGGAACTCCTCACACGCTCCGTTTGCTCCTCCGATCGCGCCTCGTTCTCGCCTCTCGTCACCCGACCATTCGTTGTCCGGCCATCGGTTAACATGTGGCCGCTATTTAGTCACATTGGCGACGTCTAGTTGGTGACAACATTGTGCAGTGTATCGCGATGATATGATAAGTCTGTTGAAACTTTGGGAAGTGTTCGCTGGACCCGGCACTGATTATGATGAAGAACTAACACGTAATTGTAAATTCATGGTCTTATGTTTCTTGGTAATTAATTCATGGTCTTATGTTGGTTTGGTTTTAGCGTGACCCAAAACACTTGAGACTGCGGCCGAATTAAACTCACTAGTTTTGCCTTAAATTTTTTACATAATTTTTGCTTTAAGTGTTAAATTTACTCATTAAAGGAAACGTATAATGTGTGAGTTAGTTTATTTAGTAGGTACTAGCAGAATCCAGCCAGTGGCTTTTTTTGTCAGTTTCGTTGGAACATCCAAATAAGAAGTTTAAAAAACACTCTTCCGCTACTCACAACAAAAATCAAATAACATTTCAACACAAATCTAGGTGTGTGTATTTAGATTATATTATTTAGAGAGTGTTATTTGATGATTGTGTCGTTGTTGCAGACGAACGGGAGGACGTTCAAAAGAAAACCTTTGCCAAGTGGATTAACTCGCAACTGGTCAAGGTGCGTCGTTTCTTACTTTGGTTGCAGAGACGATTATTGCGCGGTACTTACCGAAGGTCGCCCAACGACACTCATTGCGGCTTTAATTGCAGAATAACAAGCCGCTGGTGCAGGACCTGTTCCAGGACCTTCGCGATGGCGAGGTGCTGCTCTCGCTACTCGAGATACTCACCGCGCAGCAATATGTCAGTTACATTTTCATCCTTAATGGTTTCACTCTTTCGAGCAAACAGTACTTCCAACAAACGTTTGTAGTGATCATGATGACTCAATGTTATAAAGTTTCTAGATGCTGGTCCTCCCGATGCTGTATTTACAGTTTGTTTTTTTCTCAAATCAATTGGTAAGAGTGGTTTACCAGCATTTAGACAGATGAAATTTTATTAGGAAAGACTTTGTAAATTCAAAATATGTCATTGTGAATTGCATATATATTTTTTTTATGTGAGTAAGTGGCAAACGATCTGGCGGTTCTCCTGATGTTAAGTGATAATCGCCTGCCCATGGATATTTGCAACACCCGTAGGGTTGCAGATACGTTGCCACCTCTTAATAATGTGGGCCCCGGTTACTTGCTCTCCGGACGAAACGCAGAGGTGCAACACTTCCACTTCACGCCGGTCTTCATTGAGGTCGTGGTACTAACCCGGACGGACCTGCCCATTCGTGCAACGAGGGGTCTTAGGAGGGGTGAGTGATTCACAGTATGACTAAGTAAAATTTCTCACAAAATGGGTGTTTCTATTGTCTTGAGCGGTTATTGTAAGGACATAGCATTTTAATGATCAATTTCCTTTTTATTGCTATTATCTGCAGTCAAGATAGATGATAGTTTATCTAAAAGAAGGTAATGTCGTCAGAGGCGCGAGCGCGGGCAGATGCGTGTGCACCAGCTGAACAACGTGAACGCGGCGTTGCGCGCGCTCGAGGCTGCCGGCCTGCGCCTCGTCAACATCAGCGGCGCCGACATCGTCGACGGGAACCCCAAGCTCATACTCGGTGAGCCCGCGCTGTAACAATACAGATCGTTGGAGTGCGCCTTACTTACAGATTACTTTGTTACAGGACTCGTTTGGAGCATAATTCTCCACTGGCAGGTGCACTACCACCTGAAAGACCTCACGTCCGACACGCAGCAAAGTAATCTCGAGAAGACACTGCTGGCGTGGTGCCGGACGCACACGCAGGTTAGTATCCGCGCTCACCGACTTCAATTACTAAAGTTAGTTTACTTTGTATCGCCGCCTCTATAGAATCTATGAGTTGTTTGGAGAAGTGTAGCTCACGTTATTCATTTCGAGTTCGTGTAATGTTCACAACGTACGCTAAACGTCTCCGTCGCGCGTGCAGAACTACGCCGGCGTGAACATCCGCAACTTCACGACGTCGTGGGCGGACGGGCTGGCGTTCAACGCGCTGCTGCACCGCTGGCGGCCGCAGCTGTTCGACTACGCGGCCGTGCTGCGCGCCACGCCCCACGCGCGCCTCGACCACGCCTTCGCGCTCGCCCACGACCACCTGGCCATCGCGCGCCTGCTCGACCCCGAAGGTGCCCCGCCGCCCCTCCGCCCCTGCGCCCCTCCGCCCCTGCGCCCCTCCGCCCCTGCGCCCCTCTGCCCCTGCGCCCCTCCGCCCCTGCTGACCGCGCCGCCTTGTTGCAGACGTGAACACGGCGCACCCGGACAAGAAATCGATCATGATGTACGTCATGTGCCTGTTCCAGTCGCTGCCGCACGCCTCCGACGACCTGCCCGAGCCCGTCGAGGTGACGCTCCCCCCTTTACAATGTGGCTTCGCCGTCGACCCCTGACCGTACGCGATGTGACGAACATTCCTCCCGGCAGAACGCGCCGGCGTCGCGGCCGCTGTCGTCGGCCACGACGGCCTCGGAGCTGGGCGGCTACGGCGCCGCGCTCGAGGAGGCGCTGGCCTGGCTGCTCGAGGCGGAGGAGCGGCTCGCCGCGCAGCCCGCGCCGCCCGCCGCCGACCTGGCCCAGCTCAAGGAGCACTTCCACGCGCACGAGGTACGCGCCCCCCGCAACCCCCGCCCCCCGCCCCTCGACCGCCAGGGGGAGAGGCGGGCCGGCCACGAGAACCCTTCTGCCGCAGCGGTTCTTGCTGGAGCTGTCGGAGCAGCAGTGCCGCGTGGGCGGCGTGCTGGAGGAGGGCGCGCGGCTGCTGCGCGAGGCGGCGCTCTCCCGCGACGAGGCCAACGAGGTGCGCCTGCAGATGCGGCTGCTCAACGAGCGCTGGGAGCAGCTGCGGCGCGGCGCGATGCGGCGGCAGGCGCGCGTGCACGCGGCGCTCATGCAGGCGCAGCACCACCACCTGCAGCGTTTCAGGTGAGGGCGGGGCGGGGCGGGGCGGGGCGGGGCGGGGCGGGGCGGGGCGCGGCCGGTGCTGACGCGCGGCGTGTGTGGCAGGCAGTGGCTAACGGAGACGGAGGACCGCATGTCGCGGATGGAGGCGGAGGGCGCGGACGGCGCGGGCGACGAGGCGGCGCTCAAGGACACGCGCGAGCTGCACGCGGACCTGCGCCGCCAGCAGCCGCTCGTCGACGCGTTGGCCGACTGCGTCGTGGTCGTGGACGACGAAGCGCACGACGACGGTAAGGCTCGATCCCCCGTTCGTTCCCGGCCTATAGTCCTCGGACCGACCGTGCGATGGTCCGCAGGCGGCGTGGCGGAGATCGAGGACGAGCTGCGCGCGCTGGGCGAGCGCTGGTCGCACGCGTGCCAGTGGACGCTGGCGCGGCTCGGCCGGCTGGCAAGGCGCACGCAGCTGCGCAGGCGCCGCGACGCCGCCGCGCGCCTCGAGGCCGACCTCAAGCAGGTGCGTGCCGCGCCCCCCGCCGCCCCCGCGCCCCCCGTCGCATCTCACCGCCCCCGCCGCCGCAGATGGAGGCCAGCCCGGTGAGCGAGGTGGGCGAGGTGCTGGCGCGCATCGAGCAGCTGCAGCGCGTGACGCGCGCCGTGCGGCTGGAGCGTCGCGCCGCCGCGCGCCTGCTGCCCGGCGCCGAGCGGCCCGAGGCGGGCCCCGACGAGCCGCAGCACGACGAGCCGGAGCCCGCTCTGGCGGAGGAGGCCGAGGCGCTGCTCGACCGCCTCGACGCGCTGCTGCTCATTCTGGACGTGCAGGCCTCCAGGGTTTGTGATCTCGTATTGTGTATCTGTTTATTTTATGATGACACGAAGTGTGATAATATACTTTTATTTGCAATCGCAACAATTATTAAATAACAACAAAAACCAGATACGAGAATTGGGTTTCGAATTCGACATCGAGACGAGCGAGGAGACGACGGAGGGCAGCCCGCCGCCTTCCGAGGCGCCGCCCGAGGACGCGCACTCGGCCAGCAAGAGGCCGCGCCTCGGCCGCGACGCGCAGGCCGGCTTCCGCGCCTTCGCCCACTGGGCGCGCGACGCCGAGCGTCAGCTGCAGCAAGTGAGTGCCGCTCGCCCCGCCCCGCCCCGCCCCGCCCCGCCCCGCCCCGCCTCACGCTGCCCCGTCCGCAGGCGCAGGCCGAGCTGGAGGCGGGCGACGGCGATGAGCGGCGCGGCGCCGCGGCCGCCCTGCTCGAGCGCCTGCAGCGGCAGCTCGACGAGCAGCGCGCGGACTTCGAGCACGTGGAGGAGATCCAGCGGCGGCTGGCCGCCGAGCCGGAGCTACAAGGTACCGCGCGCGCTCGGCGCCCTCTCCGCCCTCCCCGCCCCCCTGCGGCCCCTCACCGCCCCTCGTCCGCAGACGAGGCGCAGCGGCACGCGGCGAGCGTCGACGAGCTGCGGGGCCGCTGGGAGGGCGTGCGGCGGCAGCTGGCGCGGCTGCGCGAGACGCTCGAGCTGCTCGAGGAGAAGGAGCGCTTCGCGCGGCGGGCGAGGGCGCTGCGCGACGAGATGAGCGCGCTCGGCCCGCTCGAGCCGCTCGAGATGCGCCTCAAGGAGCTGAACGCGCACTCCATCGTGCTGCTCGCGAAGGCGCTGCCGAGGGTGCACAGGGAGCAGGTGCAGGACGAGACGAGGCAGCTCAAGGACGAGTACGAAGAGGTGCGCGCGCGGGCGGCGGAGCGGGCCGGGCGGGAGGGCGACGCGCGAGAGGCCGAGTTCCGGGCGCTTCGGGCCGAGGTGGCGGAGCTCGAGGCCCAGATCGTGGCCGAGCACGGCGTCGCCGCCACGCAGCAGGAGCGGGACGGGAAGCTGGAGCAGCTGGAGCGGCTAAGGGCGCGCTTCGACGAGCTGCAGTCCACCTACGAGGCCGTCGTGGAGGCGAGAAGGGAGAACTGTGACACCGGGAGCGTGTCCGGATTTGAATTTACGCAGCAGTATCGAGAACTTGGTCATGAAATTCGCCGACTGTAAAACGATATTGCAACAGAAAATCCACGAATTAGAAAAAGGTTCGTACCTTTTTTATTTTACATCGCTATTATAACCAGGAAATATGCCTATTATTTATATCGTTTATAGTCAGCCGGAAAGTAATTGCTACCTTACGTTCTCTCTACCGTTTGAAAAATTTCCTACCCTTTAAAACTAAGCTTCTGCTTGTCCAATCATTAATTTTGCCCATTATCGACTATGCTGATGTGTGTTATCCGGACCTATCCCAATCTCGTCTCGAAAAATTGGAGCGCCTCCTCAATAGCTGCATTAGATTTATTTTCGGTTTACGCAAATATGGCCATGTATCTTCCTACCGTCGCAAGCTTTCCATTCGACAGAGGCGCAGCTCTAGAATTCAATTAACATTGTATTCTGTATTATTTAATCCCAATTCTCCTTCTTACCTTAAGGATACCTTCCATTACCTTCACTCTGACCCTAACAGAGTATCTCGTTCCATCAACCAACTTAAGATTCACATTCCTCAACATACAGGATACTTTAACTCCTCTTTTACCGTTCAAGCTACATCCTCTGTTTCCCTAAAAAAAACAGCTACAATTCGATATGTTCAAATTCGAGAATACTTTTTAAAACATTAACTTTGTATCACTTAGTCCATTTGTGTTTTTATTATCCGTTATTTATTTATGTATATATATATATATATATATATATATATATATATATATTTATATGTATGTATCTATATATTTTCTTATGTAGATATATGTTATATTTTATGGCACATTTATTAACTCTAATTTTTATAGTATTCATTTAGCACCTACCATTTACTCACCATGACAAGGGTTGACTGGTAGAGAATGCCATGGCATTGTAGCCCTTAGCTTAAGGTGTAACAATGAAGCTTAAATAAATAAATAAATAAATATCGTTTATTTGCATGAAACATTGTTTTCCGTGTCTATTTTCATGTTTGTAACACGTTGTTTCCTGTCACTGAGATAAGATGATATCCACTGCAGCGCTGATCTCCTAATGCCAACTTTTTCTAACTTTTGCAACAAAAGATCATGAGAAGTAAGATGATAATTATTTATATTGGATGTTATTATTTTCAAAAGAGAAAAGATAGCCAGTGCCGTCGATTTATCTTTTTGGAAGACATCTTGTTCATCCATATATCATTGACATACTGTAAATCCATTAGTCATGTATGCATTAGTCTATTGCAAGAAGCCCGCCAGTTTTCGGCCATCGTAGCGCAATGGTAACAGGCGCAGCGGCGGCGCTCGCCGAGCGAAGCTGCGCGGCCGCCGCCCGGGCCGTGGAGGCCGCCGAGCGGCTGGGCGCCGACGCCGCCGCGGCGCTGCCCGGCGACTTGGAGGCGCTGCAGGCGCTGCTGCGGCGCGCGCCCGACGCGGCCGCCGCGCTCGACGCCGCCGCGGCCGAGCTGCAGGGCAACGAGGCCGAGCGCGCGCAGGAGCTGCAGCGTCGCGCCGCGCAGCTGCAGCGCCGCGCCGCGCAGCTGCAGCGCGACCTGCCGCAGCAGCTGCAGCGTGTACGCGACGCGCACGCTCGGACCGAGCGTTTGCTGCAGGGAATAGACGATGTATGCCTTTCGGACTTTGCTGCCATTGTTCTTGAAAGGGGCTTTGTCTCTCTTTAAGTTTTTAACATGTTTATGCTTTTTAATTATAATTTAAATTTTATAGAGCTAATCTCAGCACTTAAAATTAAACATAATCTTCTATATGTATTCAAATGAATTGCTGTTAGTCTCGCTAAAACTAGCACTTTATGCCTGCGTTTCAAAAATTCTCTTTCTATGTGTTCAGATTGACAAATTCCTTTGAAATAATTTATATGGCAAACAACGTTTGCGGAGTCAGCTAGTATGTAATAGCTTTTCTTCCAAAATGTATTACATGCGTACATTAAAAATAATACACGAACGTACACAGTACTGTATCACCGTTTTGGTGACATTACTTCATATCAATGGAGTCGTCGATTTTTACGGTTCCGTATTCAAAGGGTAAAACGGACCCTTCTAACTCTAAGACTAAGACTTCGCTGTCTGTCTGTCTATCCGTCACCAAGCTTTTTACCATGAACCGTGATAGTAAGGTAGTGGAAATTATCACAGAATAAAATAAAAAACATTTAAAGGGGTTACTATGCAACAAACACGAGGGGATTACTAGGCAACTTATAGGTATTTACCAATTACTTTATTGCTGATAATGGTACGGAACCCTTACTTCAGTGTCGTTTTCAAATCGCGGATAGCAGTCGGAGCAATTTGCGCCAGTAGTGGCAGCATATTAATATTAATAGGAACATGGGATCACTATCATATGATTTAACTCGTGCCCAACTGGCAGCTGGAGGAGTTCCTGCACGGGCTCGAGCGGCAGATGCCGAGCGCGGAGGAGTGCACGATCCGCGACTCGGCCGAGCTGTACCGCATGAAGAGCCGCTTCCAGGCGCTCAAGGAGCAGTGCGACGAGCGCTCCACGCAGTTCCGCAGCCTGAACGAGGAGGGTGGGTTTGAGGGGCAGCGGAGGGCTCTCGCCGCCCTTGGACGTCCGTGACGCTGACGCTGACGCTGACGCTGACGCTGACGCTTGCGCAGGCAACGAGATGATGCTGGCGGCGGAGCGGCGCGCGGCGGCGCTGGCGCGGCGCCTCACGCAGCTCTGCGCGCTCTGGTCGCGCAACACGCACGCCGTGTACGAGCGCTACAAGTGAGTGGGCGGGCCGAGCGGCCGAGCGGCCGAGCGGCCGAGTGAGGGGGCGAGGCGCGGCCGAGCGGGTGGGCTGAATCGGGCGCTCGTGCGCAGGGTGCTGGCCGAGGCGTGGCACGAGTCGGGCGAGCTGCGCGCCTGGCTGTCGCAGCAGGGCGCGTGGCTGGACGGGCTGCAGCGGCGGCTGCAGCCCGCGCCGCCGCGCGCCGACGCCGAGGACATCTCCGACGAGCTCTACGTGAGTGCGCTTTTATGACCTTTCCATTAACATTATTGGATTCTGCAATTGATTTTCTTAACTGTTTACATACAACATTTAAATGTGATATATATGTAGGCGTAGGATAAATAAAATCTTTATTTTGAGTATATTGTTACTATTTTCATCTTTATTTAAATTAGTACATTTTAAGACACAGATACACGTTACTCGTTCGTGGCGTCGTTGCGAAAAGTCCCTCAATCCCTTTTACGTCATCCATCCTTCTCATTCACACAATACTTCGTTCAAAAATCATCTTTTACTCAACTATTAAATAATTAATCCTACAACTCGGCCATTCTGCAAATCAGTCTGGCCTCAGACTGAAGCTACTTTACCACAGTTATACTAAGTACTTAACATTTTTTTTCCTTCTTCATAGACATAAGTGTTTAAACATACAACAAAAAAAATAACAACACTAATTAGCTTATTCCTTTACAACCACAGGTAGTTTAGGCAGTTTTAGTAGATGTTTAAAAAATACAAAATTACAAAAACAATTACTTAATCGGTCAAAAAAAAAACAATTTGTATCAAGGCCATCTCTTCATATAATCTGAAGCTGATGTAGTTCTTATCGGCCCTTCTTTACCTCTGTCTATTTTCTACCTCATCCCTACCCCTTCCCAACTCCTTTGTAATTCGATATGGTCCGTAGAATTTTGGTTTTAATTTTAACGCAGTTCCAAACTGTACACGTTGTATAGCAACTAGATCACCTTGCTTGTACTTCTCTCATTCTTTACGTCTTTTGTTATATGTCTTTCTATTCTCTTCTTGGATCTTTAATATTTGTGCCTTAGCCTCTCTTCTTGTTTCATCTCTTCTACTCATAAATTCGATTCTGCTTTCATCTTCTAAGTATTCCATAATAGATAAATCTTCCTTCAGTTTAAGTTTCACTCCCGTTAACAATTCAAAAGGTGTTGTGTTAATTGATCGTTGATATGTGCTATTAATGACTCTTTGAAGCTTACTCACATGCTTATACCAATGGCCTGGTTCTTCTATACACCTCTTTGTTAAAGTAGAAATAATAACTCTGTTCACCCTTTCAACTTGACCATTTCCGCGTGGTATTCCAGTGGCAATAGTGATATGTTTAATGCCTTCCTCTTGACAGTACTCTTGAAATTCATTCCCTGTAAAAGCTACTCCTCGGTCAGTAATGATTCTCCGTGGGTTACCATAATCTTTCTGGTGCAACTTTAACTTTTCTACGGTTTCCTTTGCTGTCACAGTCTTAACAGGATAAATCCAGACGAACTTTGTATATCAGTTTAGTTATACATTTTCTTAGTTGCATCTAATGGCCCTAAATGATCACAATGTAAAGTATCCAGTGGTAATTCTCCTTTATCAATTGGATTTAAAAAGCCTTCTTTCTTACCAGACTTTCTACTCCCTAATAAACAGGGTACACAGGTAGAAACAATCTTATCGATTTTACTGTCTAGTTTTGTAATGTAATAATCTTTTTCTATTATATCCTTAATCTTCTTCTTCCCGAAATGTCCAATTCCATGGGCTTTTTTAATCAATTCCATATCCATCATATCAGGTAATACCAATTTCTTCTCCGGTCCTTTATAGATAACATCATTCTCTAAAAAATAATCTTCATATCCATTCTTTTTTAATAGTTTTCTGATAATCTTTAACCCTTCATCTTCTTCTTGTGCCTTCTTTATTCTCGCATGTAACTCAACATCAACAAAACAAATGTTTCTGCTCAATGCGTTAACATGTTGCATCTTGTCTCCTGTTCTATGTTCTATAGAATACTGAAAATCCTGTAAGTATCCATCGTGCTACTTTTGCAGATGCATCCTTTTTGTTCAAGGTTTTTTGAAAGGCTTCACAATCAGTGACAATTTTAAAGGGTATTCCTATAAGATATCTTCTGAATTTCTTCACGGCTTCAATAACAGCTAAAGCTTCTAACTCGTAACTGCAACACTTTTGTTGAACTTCTGTAGTCTTTCTGCTCATGTAGTGAACAGGATGTTGACAACCATCATTGGGGTCTCGTTGCATTAAAATAGCTGCATATCCATGCATAGAAGCATCCGTATGTAATTCAGTTTCCAAATGAACATCAAATATTTTCAACACTGGTTCACAACATAATTTTGACTTTAATTCGTCAAAACCTTGTCTTTGAACATCCTCAAACTTAAACTCACCTTTTTTTCAATAAATCACTTAATGGCTTCGCTATTAAAGCATAATTTTGAATAAACTTCCTGAAGTACGAAGTTAATCCTATGAAGCTGTGCAGTTCTTTCAAATTTTTAGGCACTGGAAAGGTCATAACAGCCTTTGTTTTCTCACTAGATGGTCTTATCGTTCCATTGGAAATATGGTAGCCTAAGAATTAAACAGATCTTTGTAGTATTTGTGACTTCTTCCAATTTATTTCGAGCCCATACTCCGCTGCCACCTTCAGCAAAGCTTTAAGTCGTTCAATTCCCTCTTTTTCATCTTTTGAAATTATAATTATATCGTCAATAAATATCAAAACCACTCTCGTTCTTATAAAATCCGCAAATATGATGTTAATGTATCTTGTAAAGTATTTAGGACAGATAGAAAGACCAAACGGTGCTCTTAAAAATTCATACTGGCCTTCAGAGTTACTCGTTACAAATGATGTATACTTCACCGACTCTTCATTTGTCAATAAGGTGATTACAGGTAATGGATGTTCGTCTTTCACCATTTTCTGATTTATCTTTCGATAATCTACGCAAACTCGTACACTGCCATCTTTTTTCTTTGTCAATACTAAGGGATTTGCATACTCAGAATAACTAGGACGAATGATGCCCATCTTCAACCAATCATCAACTTGCTGCTTCACTAATAGTTCTTCGGTTAAAGCTAATCTGCTAGGCCGTTGTGTAACTGGAATATCATCTTTTAGAACAATTTTCAGCCTAATGGGTGCATCTTTGGACTTCAAAGGTACTTAATCATTTATAATATATTTTACCGCACTACCTTGGTCATCGTTACTGGAAAAAAGACATATAGCATTTTGATATAAACTATCGTAACATGGAGGCCTAATTTCAACGGCACCTTTGTCTATAACCGTAACAGTATTTACTAAGAATGGTTGACCTAATATTACATCATGTGGCATTACATTAGTTGGTACAATATAAAAATTAATATTGTAATGGTGATCGTCGATAATTATTTCCGTGTCGAATTTACCGATTGAAAATACTTGTGAACAACCCAACCCGGTAAGCAACATTCTGACAGGTGTATATCCAATATTTAATTTAGAAAAGAAATTTAAAGTTATTAAGTTTAAATCACTACCCGTATCAATTAAACAGTTCGTCACGAAATTACCTATTTTTACATTTTTTATGCTTCTATTAATTATCGCATCACCTTTATCTACATTAAATACAGACTGACGTTTTTGAAGTTGACACTGAATCCCCTTACTGTCACAAACATTTGATATGCAGGCACTCGCTCTTTCCTTCGGATCGCAACTCATTACATTTCGTTCACGTTCACCTTCTTCATTCACGTCCACGTTAGCGGAACTAGCGCCCTCTGATGTCAGCGTGGGATATTGAATGAACATCGATCGTCGATCCCGCTTTGCATGCATTTGTGTTATTACAGGTTCCGTTTTCTTACATTCTGCGCCTATGTGACCGAACTCATTACACCTAAAACATTTTACACCTCTTTGACAGGAACTCGACAGATGCCCTTTCTCACCGCACTTGTAACAACGTTGGAATGTCTGTCCTCCAGTTTCCCGTTGTGCCATCGGCTTCATTACTGTTACTTCTCTTTTGCTTATAGTACTCTTCTTGGTTTTCTGTTTGTAACTTTCATACAATGCTATTTTCTCCTTGAGCACTGAATAGCATATAATACCATAGAATAATAATTTGTTTGATTCGTAGTCGTTTATGCCATCGACTATATACTGTATGGTGACGTAGTCTGCAAACTTAGCCCTTTTTCCCAATTCTTTCATGACAAGCATGTATTGATAAACCGTTTCATTAGCCTGCTTTTTCCGATTACTCATCATTTCATGCATTTGTTTGGAATTTATAGTATCAGGAAACTCCTTCATCAGAGCCGTTCTAAATTCATCATAAGTTTTAAATGCTTCTTCCGTCTTCAGCCATAATTGTGCAGTACCAGCCAAGCACCTCCGCGCGATAATTAGCCGTTGTAGTTGGTTCCATCCGAAAATATCTGCGTTGTCTTCAATATCCTGCGTCCATTTTGCAGAGGAATACGTCATATCATCCCCCGTCAACTTAGGTAGGGAATCCATCAGGAAGAATGGATTATATTTACCATCGTCGTTATTGCTCTCCATCATCTTTAACCGTCGTAAATATTATCGTCGTTATTTTAAAGTGACAATTAATACGCTTCCTTTGTAATACGTAATGGCGGCTGGCGTACGGATCACTTTCTCTCGTTATTAAAATACCCAAAAATCACTTTAAGCCCGTTATCCCGGACGAGAATTTTGTAGGCGTAGGATAAATAAAATCTTTATTTTGAGTATATTGTTACTATTTTCATCTTTATTTAAATTAATACATTTTAAGACACAGATACACGTCACTCGTTCGTGGCGTCGTTGCGAAAAGTCCCTCAATCCCTTTTACGTCATCCATCCTTCTCATTCACACAATACTTCGTTCAAAAATCATCTTTTACTCAACTATTAAGTATTATCTCTGTCGTCCCGCGAAAAGGATCTGGAGAACTACATGCAGAACCACAGCGACGAGCGGCTGGAGCGCATCCACACGATCGGGCGGCAGCTCGTGGAGGCGCACATCATGCCCGAGTGGATCCAGGCCGAGCTGGACGCCGTGTCGGCGCGCTGGGCCGCGCTGCGGCGCCAGGGCGAGGAGCGCGCGCGGCAGCTCGAGGCGGCGGCGCGCGACGCGGCGCAGAGCGAGCTGGCGCTCGAGCGGCTGCAGCAGTGGGCCGAGGCGGCGCGCGCGCGCCCGCCCGGCGCCGACCTGGCGGCCGAACTGCCCGCGCAGCGCCGCCAGCTGGAGGAGCTGCAGCAGCGCGCGCCGCCGCAGGGCGCCGCGCGCATGCAGCACCAGCTGCAGCTGGTGCAGCGGCAGCTGGACGAGCTGGAGCGGCGGCTGGGCGCGGGGCCTTGGGGCGCGGCGGCCTCGTCGCCGCTGGAGGCGCGGCTGCACCTCGCGCAGGCCGCGCTGCGCGAGGTGCAGCTCGCCGCCGCCGCGCTGCCTCCCGCCGCGCCCGCGCCGCCCGACCCCGACGCCGTGCGCGCGCAGCTCCGGAACTGCCTCGTCAGTGCCCTCCCTTACACTCTCACACTCTTACTCTCTTACTCTCTTACTCTCTTTTTCTCACACTAACCGAATAGTAGTATTGATACCATACGTGTTGTACTATCTTCGTATGTGAACCTTTAAAATGTAGGTTCTTAAATAATCCTTTGAACGGTTGCGTCTATTGACGCCCGTAAGCCGCTACGGATATTCATCGTACTTTCCGTAAGGCTTCACTCGAACGTTGGAAAACTTATTCCAAACCCCTATGTCGTTATATCTGTTGTTTGTATATGTCGGAGGTAGGTGGAGCACATAGGATAACTCGTCGTCGGATCTCTCGCCGGAAGTTTTGTACGCGCAAGATAAAAGTTATCACGTAGCACTGTCGTTTACTTGTTCGATTAAAATCAACAATAACGAAAATAACTATTAACAATGCCGATATAATGGAATGGAAAGCAGCAAGTTCGATACAGGAAGATGACCGTCCGCACCGCCACCCCTTTGTCAAAAGTGACGTGCCCGAGCACGTTCAAAACACACCCCATGTCCGATGTCAATTGACTTCCACAAATCACAGCCGTCAAATCCGCTTTCTCACTTCCTGTATCGATCTTACTCAAGCGTACTACTTGACGTTTCCAGGAGCTTCCAAGAGATTGTGAATATTTTTGAAAAAAGACATATATGTATATAAGAATATTTTTCAGTGTTTAGGATGACACAGCAATCAAAACACAATTGAGTTTCTCTGTAATTAAAGATTTATTTTAAGTTTTTGAAACTATAACAAATAATAATTAAAATAACAAAAATAAAAGATTTTACTATTAAAACTTTACCTGTAATTAAAGAAACGACATTTAATGTTAATAATCACAATGTCGATTCCTAAATCACTATTTTACTTATTAAATATCTTTGTAATCAGATTATTTTCATGAATTGCTTCATATGACAGCTTAATTCTTTTTCTGTTACAATCCGGCGTACAAACATAGTTTTTTAAATAAATTTTATCAACGGCCGGTGCGCGAAAATATTTAAATTAAAGAAAATATTTAAATAAAAGAAAATAATATTTTTCTTTACATCTCCCCCTCCCAGAGAAGATAAAACATAACGACAACCTACACATCCTCTTTATGGTCTCTCAAGCATAGCAAGGAGTTAGTTTCGATATATGGAAATAGTTTGACTCTAATTTCTTACAGTCAGTGTTTATCTTGTGAATTGATGTTGATATTTTTTCTATAATTTTGTAGGGTCCGATTCTCAGTTCATCAAGCTTTTTCCTATTCAATTTGTTTCCATTGTCCACAAAAACAGCATCACCAACTTTGAATTCTATATGTCTTCGATTTTTATCGTAAATTTTCTTGTTGTAATTATGTGATTTCATTGTATTTACCAGAGCCTTTTTCCTGTCTTGGATCAGATCTTGCTCGGTCTTCTTACGTTTTAGTTCATTAGGCAGAATTGCAACATCTGTGCCGTTTAAAAGATACTTTGGAGCATAACCAGTGACAGTGTGCTCCGTTTCATTATAATTTTTTACACACATTTGTGCTATAGTTGCCCATGCAATTTTAGTGTCTTTTTCGTTTATCTTACATCTTATTTTATTGACCAACGTTTGATTTAGTCTTTCGTTTTAAACCATTTGAGAAGGGCGAATTCAATGCAGTAAAAATTATTGGAATATTCTTTTCATCCAAAAATCTTTTGAATTCCTTGGAATTTATACCTGGATATTGGTCTGAGAGAATCATGCCGATATCGTCTGTTTCTGCACAGTTTTTCACTAGTTTGATGAAATCATTTGCATTTTGAGTACTTGATGTTGAAATGTATGCGTACCTAGTGAAATCAATGAGGACATCAATCCATATTTATTTTGTCCTCTGGACTTATTCTTTATACATACTATACAACTTTCGCAGATACTTTTTATGTTTTTTGTCATATTTTCTGCTGTATACAATGAGCTAATCATTCTTTGCATTTGATTAAGTCCTAAATGACCTAGGTTTGTATGTACACTTTTGATTAATCCTATACTAAATTTCTCTGATAGAATTATTTTTTCCCTTTTCTTTACTTTCTTATAATAAACATATTTTTTTCAACAATTTTTCTTTTATGGACTGTATATTTCTATTGTTAACTTGATCTTTTAGGATATCTTCTAGTTTAATCATGTTAACCACTTTTAATTGTTCATCCAGGTTTTCATTTGGTTCTAAGACTGGATTTCTGCTTAGACAATCAGCTTCAATGTTATATCTTCCTGGAGAGTATTTAATTTGGAAATCATATTGTGATAGGTAGTATGTTAAATCTCCTAATTCTTCAATGGTGCAACGATATGGCCTTTTACTGCAATATTTTTCTACTATCAGATCAATATGTGCTTCATAATCCTTTACCATTCCGATGTCATATTTGTCCTTTGCAAAAACAGATTTATTGTTCAATATCAAGTCATCATTTACTGCTTGTTTTTGATAGTCTAGATGATTTATACAAATTTTGAAGTTTTCGTTGAAATTTATTAAATTATCAGATTTTATTTCCTTAGAAATATCAATATCTGTTTTATTTGTTTCCTTAGAAACTATTTCACATCTTTGTATAGGAACTTTCTGATGTATTTCTAAGTTTTCATTTTGGATTAAGTAAAACTTTTTTATACAATCTAGTCCAATTAAAAAATCGTAATCGAAATTTTCCTAATTTGTCTATTACAAGGACATCCATATTTTTCTCAACATTAAAAATTGTTACATTAAGTGTTACTACGCCTCTAGCCTTTTTTAACGCCATTAATTGTTTTTAAATTAGTATTGTTAGAAAAACTTAATTCCTTATTGCTTATCTTTAGCAATCTTGAATTTATCAATGACACATTAGAGTCTGAATCATAGATTCCATATATTTCAACTTTTTAATTCAATACTAATTTTACTTTAATTAATGGCGGCATTACATGCTTTTGATCGAGGGGATTAAATTGACGAGTTATATATAAACATATTACATACATATAGATGGTGTTAAAGATTTTTTACTTCAGTCGTGTGCTCACTCGTTTTTGTGGTTTTATTATAAACTAGCAAATATGCTAATGAAAATTGATCTTTGCTGCCAGACGTCAAGTCAAACCCGATCGAGCTAGCATGAGCGCTATGTTACAGTTATTTTTTAGAAATCAACCCTTCCGTGTCCCTCGATCGGGACACTAGGCCACTTTCGTCGGCTCAATGTCCCATGCGAGGGGCCTAACACGGCCGTGGAGCGGAGTGGGATCGTTCCGACTCGTGTTGCAGAAATTGTATCGCACGCTGAGCGAGATCAAGTCGGAAGTGGAGTCGATCATCAAGAGCGGGCGCAAGGCGGCGGAGGAGCGCGCGGTGGCCGAGCCGCAGGAGCTGTCGAAGCGCATCGACGCGCTGAAGGAGCTGTACAACAAGCTGGGCGCGCAGATCACCGAGGCCAAGACGCGGCTGGAGGGCGCGCTGCTGGCGGCGCGCGAGCTGCAGAGCGACCTGCAGGCGCTGACGGGCTGGCTGGACGGGCGCGGCGCCGGCCTGGCGCGCCAGCCGCTCGAGCTGGAGATGTCGCGCATGGAGGCCGTGCGCCGCAAGCTGCACGCCAACTTCGCGCTGCTGGCGCCTTCCGCTGAGCGCCACGCGCTGCGCCGCCTCGAGGCGCAGCTGGCGCACGTCGACGCGCGCTGGCTCGCGCTCGCCGCGCCCGTGAGTGCCCCTGCCCGCCCGCCCCTCGCCCTCGCCCTCACCTCACCTCACCTCACCTCACCTCACCTCACCCTCGCCCGACGGCACGGCTGTACATATTCGGTGTCGGTGTTTCTCGCTGTGTGGCGTGAATTTAACGCTTTCTGTCTCACCGCATCGAAACCATCACACACGGCGGCGAATCACCCCTAACCAGATCTCATCGAGCGTGCACATTCAAAGCTTTGGGTCTCATTCCGCCACGGCGACCGTCGCTCGATCGCGCCGGCCGCCACCGACTCGCAACACCGGAGATTGGACTAACATGTACATACATAACTGTCGTGTGGTTTGTTCGAATAACATTAACTCTTTACTAAGGAGAACTAAGTCGAGCCGAGGTTTGTGCTTGCAGGCGCTAAAGGACGACGGGGAGAGAGAGAGTGACGTTGTCGTTGAATACGAAAATGTGACGGATACGATAAAAAGGCGCCTGGAGAGCCCGGTCGACACGCCCGAGACGGAGAGGCCCGAATTGAAAAGATCTAAAATACCTCTGGCACTCAAGAGCCCCGTGCCTATAAAGAAGGAAGTTAAAGAAGGAGGCAACAGAAGCAGGGGCGCCTCTCTCGAGAGAGCTAAAAAGAGCGCCGACAGCGGCGAGTCGGGGGCGGGGAGCGCCAGGTCGGTGGACTCCGCGGAGGCGCAGAAGGGCAGCAGCACCTTCAACCTCCTCGAAGACAGCGACCTCTTCTCTCGGATCTCTAACAACCAGGTGGAGACGGCAGAGCCGGCGCAGCACGGCGACGAACCGAAGGCAGATAGTTACCACGTGGTCGAAGTGAAAGAGCGCGAGATCGTGAAGTCGACGGTGAGCCCGATCGAGCTCAAAGAGATTTACCCGTCGGAAGCGGTCGAGACAGTAGTCGAGTTCATTCCTCAAACCGTGGAGAGGGTCGAAATTATCGACGATACGGAGGGCGAGTCGATCTGCGACTCGGATAGTGAGGAAGCCCGCGTTAGTGTCGATTTCGGTTCCGAACCTACGACTTTTGTCGTGGAGGTGCAGAAGTTCGAGGAGCGCATGAAACCTACTCTGGGTATACTGAAGCGGCGCAACGGCGGAGAGGACGTGTCGATGGGCACGCCGCCGCCCACGCCCACGCCCACGCCCACGGCGGAGGAAGGGGACGAGGGGGAGGGGCAGGCCATCTACGCGGAGGTGGGCGACACGCCCCAGGTTAATTTAACTGCGATTGAATCTCGACGAAGGATTCTTTGAGCTTTATTTATTGATGTGATCGCATAAAATTAATTTGATATGCATGTGCACGTTCGCATCCTACACACGGGATATACTTATTTATTTCAGACGCAGGTGACGTCGGCGTCCGATTTCGACGACAAGCCCCCGCTGTCGACGTCGACGCCGATCAAGCAGGAGGCCGTGCGGCAACAGGCGCAGGTGGTGGGCGTGGCGCGCAAGGCGGCCGGCGTCGACGAGAAGTACCAGAAGAGCGACGAGTTCGAACAGGTGATCTTTGGGCTCGGGCGGCCTCGTCGGCGGCGGATTCGACGCCGGCCACCGCCCGTGCACGTCTCGAGCGATCTCGTCGCGCATTCGCAGGAGTCGCGCAGCGAGGGCGGGGGCGGTGCGCAGGGGGCGCGGGGGGCGGAGGGGGCGGAGGGCGCCCGAGGCTCGCTGGTGGGCGCGCGCTTCCCGGCGGCGTGCGCGGCCGACCCCGAGCTGGCGCGCTTCGAGGCGGCGGCGCTGGCCATGGCGCGCCGGCTGCACGTGATGCTGCTGACCGTGGGCGGCGTGGCCAGCGAGCGCGACCCCGCCAAGCGGCTCGAGGTAGGTACGCGCGCCGCCGCGCAGCGGACCGCGCGAGCGCGAGCCGATCGACCGACGCCGTCCGCAGATCCTGAAGAACCAGCTGGGCGCGGTGGCGCCGGACGCGGCGGCGCTCATCTCGCGCGGCGACAGCCTCGTGTACGCCAAGCACAAGGAGAACCCGCAGCTGGCGGAGTTCCTGCGGACGCGCTTCCAGGACGAGCTGCGCGGCCAGTGGTCCACCGTCATGGCGGAGATCGAGGCGAAGCGCAACGCGGCCATCAAGGCCGAGGACGACGTGAAGGAGGTGGCCGCGCTCACGGAGCGGCTGCAGCGCTGGGCGCGCGACGGCGAGCCGAGCGAGGCGGCCGCGCGCGCCGCCGACGCCGAGCGGCTGCAGGCGCTGAGCCGCGAGCTGCGCGCTCAGCGCGTGGCCTTCGCCGAGCGCGCCGCCGCGAGCGCCGCGCGCGCCGCGCTGGCCCGCGCCGAGCAGGAGGCCGCGCCCGCCGACTCGGTACGTGCCGCGGCGCCGCGCCCGGGCCGCGCTCGCTCGGCCTGACCCTCCGCTTGGTCCGCAGGCGGAGGCGGAGAGGCGCGTGGCGGAGCTGGAGGCGCGAGCGGCGGCCGCGTGCCTGCGGACGGCTGAGCTGCGGGCCGGGCTGGCCGAGCCGCCGCTGGGCCCGCAAGACTACGACCAGTTCCCGCTGCAGGAGGATGCACTGGAGGTTATTAAATTAAACGAACTTTTATAACTTAAATAATATAATTTATTATGATGAATAAAGCGTCCATCCCTCGTATAGAAACTGAAATCGTCCATCTCGGAATTGAACGCCGACATCGAAGACATAGAGAGGCACCGCTCGGAGCTGAGCCGCACCTGCGGCGCCGAGCGGGCGGAGCGGCTGCAGCGGGCGCGCGACCGCCTGCAGCAAGAGCGGACGAAGCTAGACGCGGCCTTCGGGGAGCGATACGAACGGTGAGAAATTATTTAGTGCTGCCATTATCAATTCAGGATGTAAACTATATTATTTTCAAAAGAACCACCTAGCTAGCTTGTATTTAATTTTTTAAAAGAAATTTGCATCATTGGAAAATCCGTACTATTATTGAGAATTTTATAAAAGTGAGTTAATGGAACAGTCCATGACGGTCTGCAAGAGCAATTAGTTTATGCCGTGAAAGTAAATCGTTATAGGGCGCTTGTAGATTTTGATAGCGATAGTTAAGTATGTTTTTATTTTTCCATCTTATTAATGTCTGTTATTTATTGAAGAGGTTCTATACGACACTAATGAGATCTAATAATTTATTTATTTATTTATAATTTTTTTATAGTATTTTGTTTTTCTGTACTTATATTAACAAGAGATGTACTACAAGCCTTGCAAAAACTCGATACAAATAAAGGTCCTGGGCCAGATGGCATACCACCCCTTCTTCTTAAGACCTGTGCATCCCAATTAGTTATGCCACTGTATTATATATGCAATAAGTCCCTCGAACATGGCCAGTTTCCTACAAAATGGAAGATCGCTCATATTACACCTATACATAAAAGTGGTGACAAAAGTGATATAAAAAATTATAGGCCCATCTCTATTCTATCCTCTATTGGCAAACTGTTTGAGTCGATGGTTCATTCATGTTCAACAGCATGACTTTCTTCCGGGTAGATCAACCGTATCTAATCAATTTTTATACCATCTGTCTTTCGCTAATAATCTGTGCCATATTTTAAATTCTTACATCCATCGACTACGATACTTTAAAATGAAAACTCTCTTCGAAAGGCGCAAAGCTACGCATATTACTTTTCTTTATAAAATATTGCACGGCCGAATAGATTCCCCTGAACTTCTTTCTAAATTAAATATTAGTTTACCACGAGCTGGTGGTCGTATACAGAGACTGAAGGTATTTGCGCTGCCCCTACGTCGTTGTCGCTATGGTCAGCATTCACCGATTTATCGTATTTGTTCAAGTTATAATGCCATATGTTCAGAGCTTGACATATTTAACGTCCAATGCAATATTAAAAAGTTTATTTACTCTAAGTCATGAAATGTGTTGATATTCAGCCACTTATTTTATTTTCTTTTTTTTTATAATTTATGATTTTTGTACTTTTGATTATTTTTTTTTAGTTACTAACCGCATTCATTGTTATTATTTTTTTTTCGTAGATTTTTTTTTCTATGTTTATTAAATTATTTTTAAGTTTATATTTTCTATTTCACATAATTTGAATACTTGTATACCTACATGTTGAGAGCATTATTTATGTGTACATGATGTGTTCGCTTATAGTGGAATATTCACTATGTAATATATATATTTTTTTAAACTTGTATCTATAGAAAATGTTAAGTGTAATGTTCTGTTTGCGGTCCGAAATAAATAAGAGGTCGTGTGTGCCAGATGGCTGCGCTGCCGAGCCGGGTGGGGCGAGCTGTACGCGGCGCTGGAGGCGGCGAACGCGGCGCTGGACGAGGGGGCGTTGGGGGCGGGGGCGGAGGGGGCGCAGGGGGCGCCGGGGGCGGGGGCGGAGGGGGCGCAGGGGGCGCTCGTGGAGCGCGCCGCGGCGCTGGGGCGGGGCGTGCTGGCGGCGTGCGGCGGCGCGCTCGCGGCGGACGTGGCCGCGCAGCTGCAGGCGCTGCAGCGGCGCGCCGCGGCCGCCGAGCGCGTGCGCCGCGTGCGCGAGCTGCTGCTCACCACCAGCGCCAACCCCTCCGACCACACCAGCCTCTCCATCCGCCTCAGCCTCGTCAAGGTGAGCCCCATCGGACCGCCCTTCGCCGCTTTTTTGGATTCCTTAATATGAAAAAGAATTTGCAATTCGAACAAGCATAATGAAATGTGTTCGATAATGTTAACTAAAATTCAATATTTATAACTACGTCTAACACATAACAATATACTTACATGATTTTCATGTTGATAACATAATTTCCTAAATCTTTTACTGTACATGGTTAAATAACAAAACCTACGGATAAAAAGATCTTGGTATTATTCTACGATTTTACCATATATTCGATTCGATAAAACAAACCGGCTTAATTGATTATTTCTATGAGTACGTTATCCGTAAGTGATTCAAATGACACTAACGTAAGTGAAACGGGAGTAAACCAATTTTGGTAGACATTTTTTGCGCCGTTAGATACAGCTTATGTAGACAAGTATGTAACCATAGGTTAAAATGGTTTTTCGTTATAATATACCGTAGGTGACGTATAAATGCAACAAGAGAGGCATACATGCTCTTTTATACGTACACGCACGTAAGATTGACGAAGGCCGAAAGCGTCCGCTGCACGGGTTAATAATATGAGCGGGCGCTATTTCCTTGGCCGCGGAAATAGCCGCGGCGGTCAGTGCTCCCGCGCCGGCCGCGGCGGCCGCGATGCTCCTTCCGCGAGGCGCTGCCTTTCTTTCGCACGGCAACAATACGACTCCAGCTAAAGTTGCGACTCTCGTGTGATGCATTCCCGATGTACAGTATGTTTATTAAATTTGTTTTGTTCTCCTTTCTTCGAAAGCTTCATTTTCAATTTACTTCGTACATCTGAAGTAATCGTGAAATAAACGTGCAACATAATCCTTTATAATGTGATCGACACAGTATAAAATTTTATGTTGTCATTTTTCTGTCATTGTAATGAATATAATCCTTTCATTTCATGCAGAATGGTTTTTACAATTATGCGGTTATCACTTATTTATGTAATAAAATGTGTCATCGGCGTTTTTTGGAAAATATATAAGTTATGTTGTTCATGTATATTGTATAGTAGATTGATTGTTTGTACTTATATGGAATTGAATTATGTCCTATTTTTAGGAGTTATTATTTACAAAAGCGATAGTCGTCAAGCTTGCGATGAAATTGAAAGTATCGATTTATCGCCTGCGCAGAGTTCAAATCACAAAAGAAACCGCCGTACAGTAGTGCTAATGGTTTTCGGTCCGATGTTTCGATGAACGAAGGGGCGTGTGCAGGCGCGCGAGGAGGAGCTGGCGGAGGCGGCGCGCGCCGTGGGGGGCGTCGAGGGGGGCGTCGAGGGGGGCGTCGAGGGGGGCGTCGGTGGGGGCGAGGGGGCGCTGGGCGCCGAGGTGGAGGCCGCGCGGCGGCAGCTGGCCGAGCACCGCGAGTACGTGGCGGCGCGGCTGGCCGCCCTGGCGCGCCTCTCCGAGCGCCTGGACGCCGCGCTGCAGTGGGCCGAGGTGGGTGCGCCTCGCTTCGCCTCGCTTCGCCTCGCTTCGCCTCGCTTCGCCTCGCTTCGCCTCGTCGCTCGGCCGAGCGCGCCCTGCCACCGCTCGCCCAACGCGCCCTTCGCAGGAGGAGGCGGCGGAGCGCGAGCCCGAGCTGGCCGAGCTGCTGCAGAACCTGAAGAACCTGGAGCGCGAGTGCGGCGCGGCGCAGCAGGCCGTGGCGGCCGAGGTGCGCCGCAAGGGGCAGCGGCTGCGCGACCTGTGGGCGGCCGTCGGCGCGCGGACAGGTGGGTGCCTACTGGGTGTTCATGAGGGGGCGAGGCTAGGTACGGTACGACACAAAAACCGCTAGCAAAATAAAAAAGTGAACTAAACATAGTGATGCAATACCTATTCGATCGATAAACTAACCTTAGTTTCACTTCGACCCGTGACAGTTACCTTCACATACCGTCACATAACAACTATGTAATTTCCGTACGCGAAATACTTTAGTAGTTTATGTAATATCAAGCTTAGCTTTTCTTGCGTTGATATTACGCGTATCCTTTGTCACAAACGTCGCACCATATAATGTACGCGGCGCCACACATTCCACGAATGCGTCCACGTGCCGAAGCCGCCCTTTGCCTTTCCCATTGCGCACAACGGATACCTGCTCGCACATCTTCCGTGGCATCCGGCTGATAATCAGAAAGTAGAGTACTTATGTCGTTTGACTACTTTTTTTTAACTATACATCCGTATCTTTAGTGTATAGATTCAAAGTGAATTTATAGGTATAATGTGTAGACTTATTTCAATAGAAATATCATCAAAGCAATCATCTGCTTGATACATGCACATGTCGTTTTCACGTGCAGCTCCGGTCAGTAATACCTATTGCGAAGTGCATCATGAAAATTAATTAGCACGTGTAACATTTCCCTGTTTAGAAAATTGAAACAATTGGGTCTATCCAATGATGGAAATGCTTCGTATAAGAGATTAAGGTCCGGTTTCTGAACCACTGATCAAATACTTTCAAATGTCATTTGAGTTGCCAAGAAGATGGTTAAAATTCTTTGAATAATAATAATAATAACAATAATAAAATATCTTTATTCACATAGACGGTTGCGCGTTCTTATGAAACGTCAAAATTTTACAAGAAATTAACACGTTCGTAAGTTACCACCGGTTCGGAAAGCAGTTTCTGTTGAGAAGAAACCGGCAAGAAACTCAACAGTTGCTTTCTTTTAAAAAAAGTCAGTTTACAATATAAATAGTACATGTACAATAGTCTTGTTTTAGCCTACGTGAGTATCAACAGTATTAACCCCACACATTGGCGTCGTCAAGATATTCAGCAATAGAATAATAGGCTTTAGCCATAAGTTTACTTTTAATTTTTCGTTTAAATTCATCAAGTGGCAGACTTAATATCGACTGTGGGATTTTATTATACATGCGCACACCTTGCCCCATGAACGACCTGTTTACTTTTTGTAAACGAAACAATGGCGTAGTTAGTTTGTCCTTATTTCTAGTATTTAGTTTATGTCTGTCACTATTCTTTAGATAACTATTAATATTATTTTTAACATACAAAATATTACAATAAATATATTGAGACGCAACAGTGAGTATATTAATCTCTTTAAAAAGGTCTCTGAGTGTATTCCGGGCTCCGATGTTATAGATTGCTCGGACAGCTCTTTTTTGAAGAATAAATATAGAATTTATATCAGATGCACTACGCCACAACAAAATGCCGTAAGACAAGATGCTGTGAAAATAACTGAAATAAACAAGTCTGGCAGTGTCGATGTCTGATAGCTGCCTAACCTTCCTAACTGCAAAAACAGCGGAGCTTAACCTGTTCGCAAGAGATGATAGATAGGGACTCCATTGGAGCTTTGAATCCACTGTAATTCCCAAGAATACAGCGGACTCAACAGGATTAAGGGTTACGCTATTTAATGTTAAGCTAAAAACTTTGCCTTCTTACGTTGGGAAGGGCAAAAAGAAGGCATTTAGTTTTTTTAGCATTTAACACCATATTATTAATGGTAAACCAGTGGAGGATACGCGAAAGTGCACTATTCACGTCGTCATAATTCGATACATTTCGGTCAACCTTAAAAATAAGCGATGTGTCGTCAGCAAACAGTACAACATCACATAACTCACTGGCATAAAAGGGGAGATCATTTATATATACTAAGAATAATAATGGGCCCAAGATCGATCCTTGTGGGACACCCATTTTCATGGGGGACCCTGCGGAATTTACATAATTTATAGATACTTTTTGAATTCTATTATTAAGGTAAGAAGCAATGAGATTGAGGGCGATGTCACGAATGCACTAATAATCAAGCTTTAGAAGGAGGGTTTTGTGATCCACGCAGTCGAAAGCTTTTGAAAGGTCGCAAAAAACACCTTTTGCATCTTGCGACCCTTCCCAGGCGTTATAAATATGTTTGACAAGTGCGATACCCGCATCTGTTGTCGATCTGCCTTTAGTGAATCCATATTGCTCATTGTGAAAAATTTTGTTCATATTAAAATGTACTAAGAGCTGATTTAAAATTAGTTTTTCAAAAATTTTACTCAGAGATGGCAATATGGAGATAGGTCTGTAGTTTCCTGGATCATTTTTATCCCCACTTTTGAAGACGGGGATTATCTTACTAAATTTCATAAGATCTGGAAATATTCCAGATTCAATATAATGCAATATATGGCATTATTGTGGTCATTAATTTTATGGACAAGCCCCATAAATCCCCTGTATTCTTAAGATTAATAGAATTCAAAACTTTTATAATATCATAAGTATCTACGTGATTAAATTTAAATGTGTGGGGACAAAAGGTAACATTATTTCTTAGAACGTTAATTGCATCTATGGGAGATGATTTTAATGTACGTGTGACAGCAAAATAGCTTTCAAAACTGCTTGCAATTTCATTATCTGATGTTATGGGAGAATTACCTATAACCAGTTTTATAGGTTCCCTGAATATCTTGGGTCTTCCAGATATACGGGTAATGATGTCCCATGCGGCTTTAATTTTATTGTTTGAATTTATTATTCTATTTCTTATATGAATAGATTTTGCCTGAATACAGACTTTTTTAAATATTTTTGAGAACATTTGTACCCTTTTATGAAAGTTGGGGTCATGATTCCACTGCCTCATATTATGTAATTCATACAGTGAATCCCTACTTTTATATATACCCACTGTTGCCCAGTCACTAAATTTTAATTTTGAATTTTTAACAATTGTGCGCGATTTAAATACATCATTATAAGAAGATATGAGAAAGTCAACCATTGATTTATAAGAATCATTAGGATTATTGACTTCTATATCTTTATTTAACATATGATGTGCCACTTTGTCTTTAAAAGAATTTATTCTATTAGTAGTGACTGGTCTACACTTGATCTTATGTTTGCTTGTAATAACTTTTTCATTTATTGAAAATTTTAAACCAAAGTGGTCAGAGCTCAGATAATTTATAACATATTTATCATATACATTATCGTGGCAGAAAACGTTATCTATACATGTGGAGGATGAGTTAGTGACACGAGTTGGTTCATGAAAAAGATTATTAAGTTTAAATTAACTAAATAAATTTAAAAGTCGTTTACTAAGATGTGTCACTTGTAAAAAATCCAAATTAAAATCTCCACAAACTTCTATTGATTTACTACTTGAACAGAGTTTTTTAAGTACATCATCCATTACACACTCAAAGAGATCGAAATCACCTGAGGGGGGTCGATACACGCATACTATAATATACTGTTGACTCTCAAGGCAGGATAATTCTATAGAACGTTCGACAGAGTGTGCTACTATATCCTGTCGATTTTTACAGACTATATCAGTTCTTACTAACACAAGAGAGCCACCGCGAATAGCATTTGCTCTTACGAACGAACTTAACAATTTATAGTTCTCTATATCTATAATATTAAAATGCTTATGTAACCATGTCTCTGTGAAGCAGATGACATGGATGTTAAATCTTCTAAGAAAACAGCTCAATTTCAGGTTCTTTGCCACCTATGCCTTGTATATTTTGGTGTACAATATTTAATTTAAGTGGCTTAGGTGTTGTCTCAATGTTTAGTTTAAACTAACATTGTTTTTTGTAAAATTATTGCTAAGTAAAATGTTCTTAGTTGTACAATGTACAACTGGGTTTTGTATATTATATGCTACTAAAGTAGCAATTATTTTCTTATAATATAATGGCAAATACCAAGTTTTTTTTGTCACCTTAAAACTAGACTTAATAAAACTATTTATGTCAAAATAAAAGAAAGCGTCACTATGACGGTGAGTTGTATTATATATAGTCATGTTAAGACTATATATGTCTTTATTTTGTTCCTCTGTAAGGAAGGAGGAATATGGAAATGCGCATATTATAAATTTACACTTAGTCTTGTAATGTAAGCCCAATTGATCATTCTGATCATTAAGAAGATCATTCTAGTCAATTCAGAGAGTTTAACCATCCTTTGGGCAACTAAAATGAGATTTGAAAATCCATTTGACAGCTGATTAGTTGATATCTATGATGATAAGTGTTTCGGAAACCAGGCGTAAAATAGGCAAATATCTGTGTACTAATGTTTTACTTTAATAACATCTTGACGGTCGTTTTTTTAATTTTTGTACCGAATTTGTACCCGAATCCAGTAATTCATCTCGATCCGTACTAGTACGAAGGAAAATGTTAAGCGACGACTTACTCCTTGTCCTGGGGTGAATAACAACATCACGAGAAAATATCGATCTCGCGTATCTAAATGAGAAGAACACATTTTTTCCAATCTTTTTTGGATTTGCACCATGTAGGTACATCTTAAACAACTTTATGTAAATTCTGCCAAGAGTGTACCTATTATGGCAAGGAGGATCGTGCCATAGTACACTCTTTGATATAAAATATCCGAAGGCCGACACTATTTGTAACATTAGTGATACACGTAGCTACCTATAGTCTACTACTTTAACCGTAGATAAAAAATATATTAAAATACGACATTAAAGTCAATGAGTAGTAACATTCAAAAGATAATTTATACACATCATGTATTAGTGATGTCTATATAATATAATAATATATAAAGTAAAGTAAAGTAACAACCTATACATGTCCCACTGCTGGGCAAAGGCCTCCTCTATATAGAGGGTATAAGGACATAGTCCACCACGCGGCCCCACTGCGGATTGGCAAACTTCACATATCTTCGAAATATTTTTTTTATTATTATTTCGAAAATATGCACGTTTCCTCACGATGTTTTCCTTCACCGCTGAGCGCGTGATAAGTCAGCACTTAAAGTTAAAAACTTCATTGGTGCCGGCACCGGGGATCGAACTCAGGTTGCTCGAGTATATTGAATTAAAGGCGAGCGTCCGGACACTGAGCTATCACGGCTCTTATATATACAGCGTGTCTTTACAATCGCGACAATAAATGAACACACATATAGAGGAAAACTTTTTAAAATTGTATTAAACATTTACATTCTTTAAACATCAATATTTACAGTTTTTAAATTTTCCAGAACAAACAATTTTAGAACACCCTTACGTAAAAAACTGTAAAGTTCATTTGTAAAGGATAGGAATGGGTTGAATGAATTTAAAAGATACAAAACATACCTACTGTTAGAAGGAGAGGCTTGTAATGCGACGCTGTGGCAACGAATGAAAAACTCTCCGAATGTATGAATCAGTCAGTTGTAGTTGTATAGGATGTTACAAATTTTGTTTCTTTTTTACTTAATTAGTTTCTTTGAAGAATATTTTTTTTAATTATGGATTTATTTAACGTTTAATATTTTTTTATGATTATTGGCGAGTAGCGTCAGACGTGTGTTCATTTAATGTCGCGATGGTAACGACACGCTGTGTATGTATATATATATATATATATATATATATATATATATATATATATATATATATATATATATAAATATAAATATAATATATAATATATATTTAATAAATAATTACTAGGGCTCGACTGCTTTAATCTATTGTCTTAATATAACCCTTTATTTCCTCGAGGCCGAAGATTCATATAGGAAATTGATCATCTCGCAAAATCCGCGGTCTACAGCATATTATTAGAAAATTTTTATGTCTGTTTATCATAGTCGTCTTTTGTAGTCCGCTATCAAACATCGGCTCATGCAACATACGTGATTTTATGATGCCGTACAAGTGATTATTGTGCGCAGTAAAGAAGTAGCTGTGACATTCGGAGGCCTAGGGTTGTAATTATAAAGAGTGGAGCGTCGGCACAAAGCGGCCGTTTCTAGGCCACGGCGTGCAGTAGCGAGAGTAGGGGCCTGCGCCTTTAGAGACGTAAGATAAAGCTTCGCTAAATATAGCGATGTGCAGGGACACCGCACATTAATGCTCTGCTTATTTGGCAGTTGCAGGATTTCTTAATCATCTTATTTCTTAATTTAATTTTTAATAATTTTTTTTCAATATCTTTATTTACATTTAAAATAACTGTTGCCAGTGGCAACAGTTATTAAATTGGTAGGGAATTTTTATATTTTTTTGGTCTGGTAACAATCCTTTTCAACGCTGAAAACCGCGACTAGTATACTTGCGCGGCGTACGCCGAAATGTTAACACCTTTTGCCTTTGAAAAATATCGCGTCTCGCTATTACGACGGGTACGAACAATGCCCGAAGAATACTGTGCAAGTGACCCGTGGAAGTACTATTCGGAGAGACAGGGTTGTGAATCAGCAAACCAGTACGCCGGGCCCCCGCAGCGTGAGCCAGTGGAAGGCGGAGACCGAGTTACCAGACCCTTAGCTCTTTTCAGAACACTAATATAATTTTGATGGATTTGCACCATTTATTCAGGTGGCAATTCTTTAAAATCAGACATTATATACATGGTCATTAATTTTTCGCGACATTATCAACATTAAAAAAGCGATTTTTTGGAAAAAAAAGAAAAACTACTAAAAAACTAGATAGATGCGTACTGTCGTCGAGCCGATACGGCAGACAGTCGGAAATCAAAGTTTTTAAATGGTACACCGGCGCGGGTCCATCCGGGCCCCTGGCGAGACCGGCCCTCTGCATTAATGACTTTTGCAAGTTGATTTTTCAGTTTATTTTCTCTTTCGAAACGAAATATTTTGCAAAAACCTTTTGTACGCTTTCATATTTCAAATGACGCTTTACCTAATATTCTAACCGTAATTATTTTAAGCGTAAAGAAATTACATTTTATGAAAACGTCTCGCTATGTATTTGTAATTTATTGGAGAACTTAAATAAACTCGGTGTGCTCAGCAAGGCGAGACAGTACTTCACGTCGGCTCAACGCCTAAACATTTATAAGGCGCAAATTCGGCCCCACATGGAGTACTGCTCTCACCTCTGGGCGGGGGCCCCCTGTTACCAGCTTCTTCCATTTGACCGCATCCAACGTAGAGCAGCTAGGGTTATCGACGATCAAGGTCTTTCCGATCAGCTTGATCCTTTGGCTATGCGTAGAGATGTTGGGTCACTCTGCATCTTCTACCGCATCTATCACGGGGAGTGTTCCGAGGAATTGTTTGGATTGATCCCAGCGGCTGAATTTCACCATCGGACATCGCGCCAAAACCAAAATTTCATCCACACCACCTCGATGTCCAGCGTTCCACAACAGCGCGATTTTCAAGGCATTTCCTGCCTCGCATAACCACTCTGTGGAATCAGCTGCCGCCGGCGGTCTTTCCGAACCGTTACGACCTGGGAACCTTCAAGAAGAGAGCGTACTCATTCCTAAAAGGCCGGCAACGCATTTGTAAGCCCTCGGGTGTTGCAGATGTCCATGGGCGGCGGTGATCACTTACCATCAGGTGAGCCTCCTGCTCGTTTGCTGCTTTTTTCCCATAAAAAAAAAGAACAAACGAGAACCTTAAAAATGTTGATATAAAGTCAGTTTGTATGTAGTATTTATTGGTGACGGTTAGGGTGGACACTTGAACGCCGGCTCTTTCTGTTGATGTGGAAATCTTCGGCGCAGCCGAGTGGGCCGCCAGGCCGCGTCCCCTCGCGTTTTCTTTCATTATTTATGAGTTTTTTTCGCGAACTTCGTTGCCGAAACACCGCCCTCGCCGTTACGAAGTATCATTTCAAGTTTCATGTTTTGAGAAAAATAACATCGTACTGGTGTTTCCCTAATTTTATTTTCTTAAATCGGATATTGCGTTGACTTCGTATCGATATTTTGCCGCTCTGGCTCAGCACCGGTGGTGCTAATTTTAGCTGGTATTACTACATAATATTATATCAAGTCGAAGGTGTATAGCATTTTATCCAAATTCAATTAGAGGGGGGAATGAAAATAAGTTTACATACCGTTTGATTTATAATAGAATTTACTTTTTACGTGAAAAACAGGCCGATGAATTATAATGGAAATCCTTAACAGCTTTAGTATTTTTTTTATCTGTTCTTCTGCCTCTGTTGCATATTATTTTACAAATCACAAATTAAAAAAAATCATTTCTTTACATGCGGTAAATTCAAAAAAACCCATTTTTCTCTTATTTTTTTGTGAAATGAAGTTACGGTTTTTTTCGCATGTAACTTTAATTTAATTTCCAGACGTTTTAAATGCGTTAAAGAGTCCATGATCACGGGACAGACCGTTTAAAATAAAAAATTAACACGAGAAATCCATATTCTCGTTAACAAAATCATTATTATTTTTTTATTTTTTACCTTAGCATTATTATATTTGCCACCAATTTGGAGTATAAACGTCAACAACTTAAGCAAGTCACCTTTTAAGTAGTCTTCCGTGTGCAAAAACGGATTTAAGACGAATATAATGGTATCCACGTCCAAACATTTAGATTGATACATTAATCCCCAAACAGTCCTTGATGAAGGATTTGAACCTGCTACGCCGAGTTGACGTCTTCGGGCCTTCGATGTCTTGGCGTTAGCTTTACATAAATTGAAATACTGACTGTTAGAGACGAAATCACAGAGTTATTTATAAGGAGCTATTGGTGAAAACTAGTTTCTAATGGAAATCTTTTAATTTAGCACCTGCATGAGAGACACCTAGCGTGTTCTTGTTGCGTAGGTAGTTAAAGTACGGACCCTCCCCCCTTCCCTGGCTCGGTTGTAAAAAGTTTTATGAATATTTGATGACACCGCTTGGAATTGCTCACCGCGGGCCGTTTTTAGAGCCGAGAAATGAAAACTGTCCGTGCTGCCATAGACGACCGCGGGGGTCATTTTGAATAAGCTTAGTTACCATACAAATCTATGTTCTATAATGTTTTATTTGGTATGTAAATAGTTACTGTTAAATCAAAAATGTGTTTATTATTTCAAAACAAATATGTGACAGAGTTTATGACTGAACCCACAGACGTTGTCGTGTAACGACTGAAATCCGAAAACAAATTATAAATAAAAAAATTTAAAAAATGTGGACCGAATTGTGAATCTAAACCATTCTTGAATCGACCTGAAGACACACAAAGTTACATTATAATCGGTCCAGCCCTTTAGGAGGAGTTCAGTGACATACACACGTACAGAAGAATTATATATATTATAAAGATGTACGCGTATTCGGGCACGGTGTCTGCGGAATTCGTTTCGGCGACCGTGATCTTGAGAGGAGCGCGTCAAGCCTCGGGGAAGCTGCTAAATGTATTTGGGTTGAGTAAAATACAAGTCGTATTTCTCCTGAGTTTTATTCAATCCTAACTACGACACAGCAATAAATAGATAAAGGTTTTTTTTACATAATTGCTATAACTCACGGGCTTTTTTATATTTCATATTTTTTATCTTTTAAAAGAATTTTATTATGAATAATCTAGCATCTAGCTTAATCCTACAAATCTAGTCGATAATTTTTACTACATAAATACAAACGTTCACTTTTACGATTATTAATATTCGTAATACCACATTACGTATCTAGTAATCATCAGTATTTAATAATTATAATTATATGTACCCCCTATGTAGTACTAAGATCTTACCTAGAGTGAAATTAACGGCAAGAGCTATGCATTAATTCTTCGCGCTTAGCTATCTGTTACATTAGTAGGTCTACGACCGTCGTACTTCGTGGATGCGAACATACATTTGCACTGTTTAATTAAACGCAGAGTGCGTGCAAAGTGTCGTATTAATGTCGCATCCCCTCCCCCCCCTGCACCCCGCCCCCACCACTCGCCATGCTAATGTTACTCACGTACCAATAATGTGTACGTAACTTACTATAAACACATGTCAACATTCCAAAGTTCTACATAATAGGTAGGTACTATGTAACAGAAACGAAGCGATTACGCAGGTTGCACGGGAATTGAACTCGTAAGCGCCTAAGCTCGCAAATTAATTAAAAGCCAAACGGTTTTGATTAGATTCCGTAGTACAACATATTTTTTTAATTTATTACCACAGCCAAAACCTTTCGGAAATATCGCTCTATTATTGTAGAGTGGTTATGTGAAGTGATCTCGTAATCTAAGTCAGTGACGGCCTCTAAGTTTGAAGGTTCAGTAGTACGTTTTTAGACAGTTTAGTAGTGGGTATTTGGCGGGAGCGTGGTTTGCTACGAGTAGAAAGGCAGGCAGACGGAGGGCTCCGAGGGGTGCGGAGGGCCCTCGAAGGGCCGGCGGCAACGGGCGGCAACGGGCGGCAACGGGCGGCTGGCGAGGCTCGCTCGAGGGCCATCGCGCCACGAGTGCACTCGTGCAATTAGTCGCACGCGACTCCCATCGTCAATATTGTCGGCCGATTCAAGGGGACGGTGTTCCTTTTCCTAGCTGCGTGTCACCTATGTTCATCTTCAATCGACGAGGGCTCGCTCGGGTTTCAGTTTTGTTCGTCCATTTCAACCGCCAAAACGGGAACTTTCTAAAATATGTCTATTTTTTTAAATCATCATTCGAAACAACTAACAACTCGTTATTTGAAACAATCAAAATGTTTATCAATTATTTGATACAGCTAAAACAGAACGTTAATTTGACTCGTGTAAATATATCTACCTATTAATCTAATCGTAATCCATCGTCTCACCTCTATTATAGACGGATCGTTTACAAATAAAGTAAATTTCTTTAGCAAAGACAAAAGAATCAATGTAAACACAGAACGCGAATAGCACGTACATAGATTAGAGAGTGGAGCGAACACTCGCCGCGGCTGGGCAATTACACGCACTCGTGGCGTAGTAGCAGGAGGGCTTCTGCATTCGCTCTTGTCTCGCGCAGCATCTCGCTCGGTGAAATCCTCCTCAACAGTTTTATACGCCTGTTTATGTTCAACAAATTTTTATCACAGCTTTAGAGCTTTTGGTTTCTTTTAGTGAGTACTTGATATGTTATTGTCCACATTTAATGATTTATTCTGTTCGAAGAGTACGCTTAACAAACGTGCATCGTCATTAGATTGATGGAAGTATTTCGTCTTTTTTATGTGAGAAAATGGCAAACGAGCCTGCGGTTTACCTAATGTTAAGTTACAACCGCCGCGGACATTTGAAACACCCGTAGGGTTGCAAATGCGTTGCCACCTTCAAATAAAATGAGCCCCGCCTACCTCACTGACTAGACGAAACGCTGAAGTATAACAATTCCACTTGACGCCGGTCTTCTGTGAGGTTGGGGTACTTACCCGGACGGACTTGCTCGTTCGTCCAAAATGAAGAATGTTGCCATTAGGATGTTAAACCCTTTTGTCTCGTGATCGCTGTAACTTTTTTGCAAACCCGGGAACTGTTAATTAGTTATTTTAATAATGGTTTTGGTGTTTTATATCTCTCGACCATTCTGCTTAGGTGGATATCGGCAAAGTCGCAACTGAAATTTTCCTATACTGATGATTAGTTGATAAATGAAATATTACCATATTTTACTTTTATATTGTTCTTTTTTTATGGCCACAAATTTTCTTTCCGATGTCGCCTTATCAGAACCGGCATCGCACGTTTACCTGTACATTGATCTCTTACCTCTTTCCTCCTAATTTGACAAACATTTTAGCGTTTCATCAATTACGAAATTTTATGAAAAACTTTCTTTTTCCTATCTCAGACGAAATTTAGTGCAGTTTAAAGCGTTTATCCTAAATATTTAGAGTCTGGTGCAGGAACCCTGCTTTTAACATAAGTGTTCAGATGTGTTCACACTTACCCGTATAACGTTGACTGAAATACTATGAGGCTCTTGTTGAGCGCTCGAGCCGTGTAGCGAGAACTATTTTGTTAAGTTGTTGTGCACCATAGGAAACTTTGGAAAACAAAGGGATTATCCAAACGAAGCACGTTATTGCATTCTTAAACTAATTAAGGGATCACATTTGTTAAAGAAGTAGAAAAAACAACTACTCAAATAAAGGAAACAAAACCGGCGTTTGCTAATACGGAGGGATTGCATTTATGGAGCCATATCCTACAGATGCAACCCTGAACAAATCAAACCCTCGGGCGACGATACGCAGAAGTAATCTCTAGCGCTCGCGCTTAAGGGTGATATCTCCGTATCGAGTCGACAATTGTAATGCGTCCCCCAGGAGCAATCGGAAATATATTACACCGTGCATTTAGTCGGGTGCCCTTCGTGCGCCGCGTCCTGGAGAGCACGAGTTGAACTCTTGCCGCGAGGAGAAGCTTCAATGGCACGTCGGGGCATTGAAGGCTGCCAAGACGAGGCCGTAAGGGACGGTTGCATTTAAACCCCGTAGGTGTGGCAGAGAGGGGTGGCTCGGGACAAGTTTCCCTCTCGTTTGGGCGGGCGGCATCCGCCAGTGTCAGTTGGGCGCCCCGACGGAGCGCACGTAGCGGCCCTCGCGGGGCTCTTACATCGCGCGGATCGGGCAGTGCCGTGCGCCCGCGTTGTCATGTTGTTCCAAGTGTTCTGACTCCGACTGCGAGCGCGGTGGCCGTGGGGCAGCGGCGGCTGGTGGTGGCGAGGTCGTTATCTATCCCCACCAGTCACGCACTAGTTTCGACTAAACAACCGCGAACATTCGATTCGATTGGCACTTTAAATGCCCGAACTGGCCCGCCTTTCTTACGGTGCACCATGCTGCTTCCCGCCAAACTTTAGTTATTTACTTTTACTGTTCCCAATCGAAGTTTTCCTGTTGTTGAAGTTTCTTTACGCACCTTATGGCTTACTTTCGTCACGAAGTATTTCGAGTTGTAACTTTTTTTTATTTATCTGCCCACACTGCGATTAGTGACTAAAATTTTTATATCCACTTTCGATTTTCGAAATTTTATTTTATGGCAGTAATCTTTAAATTTATTGCAATGCACTAATGAGTATTTAAGTATATGTAATAATTCTAATATTGGCAACACAATAAAATAAATATTAGCAAACTACATTAATACGTCAAACAGATTATATTAATAATTAAATAAGACCATTAGTTATAACAATGCATTAGCAGAACAAAGGAAAGTGAAATTTAGCGGTTTGTCTGAGTTTGCCCTGTTGTTGTTGTTTGTTATTATATTAAGACTTGGAAAAGTTGGCCATTGTGCGGTGGCATGGCGGTGCGCCCTCCTAATTTCGCCTCATACAGACACGAATGCTGGCAGGAAGGCAGGAGTTTACCTTGCCAACTTTACAATTTAAAGACATCAATCACTGTATCATATATACAGGGTGTAACGGGTGGCTTTTCTAAGTGTATCTAGTGTGTAGACATAAATAATGTTATATAAAAAGTAATAAATATTTAAAATCACTCGTAAGTAATTAATTACATTAATTTGAACTTATCTCAAAAACTGCGTGATTTATACGCAACTCATTTATTTTACGCGCGATCATTCATAACTAACAGGCACACAAGTTCGTGCACAGTAAAATTTAAGTATTTATGAATGACTACCGCATTGTCAACACGTTCTGTTTTTTAGGGAATAGAATGGCATTTTTTTTGGAAAAGAAACTTTGTTTTTTATTTCAATAAACATTTATACTCCCGAGTCTGAACCTCATGTGTAAATTTGGGCACTTTTCAAAAATCTCTCTGTATACGTAGCATTCTCCATGTAAAATAACTTGGATATTTGCGCGGTTGCTTTGAATTAAGCAAGTTCTTAACATAACAACTGTCTGACCTACATGTTGTAATTAGAGAATAGTTGATCAAAGAATATTTGGTAAACTATTTTATAACGTCGGATATAGGTGTACTTACATCAGTTAATTTTAGGCCATATTTTAAAATAATCAAATTTAGAAATATCGGAAACTTTAGTAAAAGGCTTCATTGTGAAATACGTACAACAAACAACGAGCGCGATAACATGGTCGAGCGGTTCAACTTTCTATCACATAAATAAGGCTCAATAAGAAAACATTTCTAAAGAAAATGTGTACAAGATAATTTCTCAAATCGTTAAAGTAATAACTTTTAGGCGGTTTCATGTAAATTAATTAATTCCTTTTCGTCTGTTGCAAAAAGATATGTGCGAAATATTTGGTTAACGGAATGCGAAAAAGCATTAAATTTCGTGCAGAGCGACGTAAAGCTTTTGCAGTGGCGTGTGGCGGGGGAAGTCTGCATCTTGATAATGGACATTAAAGCCCCCGCCCGCGACGCTGCCTTTTTGCCAAACGCCAAACAGCCGCATTATAACACATCATAAACTACTAAACATCCGTCAGAATTACTTACATTCACAGGTTTTGGCTGCGGGTGTCTATTTTTATCATTATTTAATTTATTTAAAATGAAAAGCACAACTGCTTTGGAAATTGAGTCCGTTTTCGCGGGAGGTAATCTATGGAACAACACGGTGTTCAGTCGTGTTGAAATAAATAGCGACGTCCCTACGACATTTTCACCAATGATGTGAAAAGGCGTGGGTCCTCTTGACAGGGTTTTGTGATTGTTTTATCGGAAAAAAACTTATTTAATAAACGAGCATTCGAATCCATTACTCACTTAACGGACAGCCTCACCGCTGGCACGTCGCCCGTCAAACTTTGGTAGCGGCCCGCGGATGAGCACGGCCGCTGGAGTCCCTTGAGCGCACCTCCCCACCCCGGCCCCTCTGGCGCACGAGGTCCAGGCTCAGACGGACGCACATATTCGAGATTTGTTCTTAACCAGGCCACAATACAGGGCGACGATGATAACCGTTAAAATTTGCAAATCGGTTACCTATTCTCCAGTATTATAGAACATTTATAGAATGATATCGTTTAGTCGAATAAAGATATTTCACGGTTTTTTATCACGTTTTATTTTGATCTTCAATTCCCGATGTTTCGAGCAGCTTACAGCGTTTATAGTTACGGGACAGACTAAAATAGTTTTATTTAACCATGTAGGTACAGTATTCTTGTTAATACATAAAATAGATATGTGATCTCGTTGGTTATGCAGTATCCCATTTTTTCTGATCTTAAGACAATAACGTGCGCATTTTAAATGAATCAATTGACGCCTATTATCTTAAAGGAGTCTTCTTGTTTATATCTTTATGTTGTCATTTTTTTCTAATATATAAGTATAAATTAAACTTACAAAACATTGTCCATAACGAAGGTTGCTGTTACGACTTACTATTCAATAAGTACGTGTTATAAATTTCCATTGTCGCATTAAAAAAAATGACTCCATAATAGTACTGTATCTTTGAAAGTAAGACTCTATTCGATTGCTACACATATTCCTATTTTCACGCCCGATTTGTCGTTGTTGTGAGTAAAAAACAAAAAAAATTAGTTTACGAGTACATCTTGCCGTATGACAACCAGAGCACGAGATATGTTGGGCAATAAACAACATTTATCGCAAAACACCGTACGTTTACATTATCTTTTGATTTTCCTCAAACGGACTTCTTCCGGCTGCTCCCTCGGTTTGCCCCCCCCCCCCCCCCCGCCCTCTCAGTCTCAAACACCCCCCCCCCCCGCACCAGGCAGCCGTCATCTTATTATTTATCGTCGTCCGTCGCACCCTTTTCTCTTCTCTTCCCTTCAAAATTGCAGGAAGGCCTGAATTTCGCGCACCATTGTACTTTTATCGCCGCGTGCGATTGTATTGGAATACGGTTGGTTTCTTATGTCGCGGGAAGGAAAATGCAACAGACCGTGATGGGGCTGCGCGCGTCACCTGTCCTATTTTTTTCTTTCCATTACCATTTCTTCATCATATTTATTTATTGCAGATGTATTTTAAGATAAATTAAAGAAAAAACTAACATGCCCTTCAGAGATTTTGTATACTGAGATGTTTGTTGTTAAGACGGTTTGGGACTTATAACATTACACAAAACATTCTCCTTCGGGTTTTTACTATTATCATATTTCAACTCGCCCCTTAGGCCAATTTGATACATCGCGTTTAAGCGAACAGATCGCTTAAAGAAGTGAAAGTTGCGGTTAAATGATTTGAAAAATTGCATCTTTGTGAATTTAATAGCACCCCTATACAGATATTACGTGATATTTGTGGCCGATACTAAGATTTTGCTCGAGCTTTTCGCTTTACTTGTTTCAACATAATGACGTAATTAGCCTTCTCTTCTTAACGGATGCGAACCTGTCTCAGGTTCGGTTCCCAGCGGCGTGTTTAACATGTTAATGTGACAGGGGTTGTAATGTATCACCGCGCCGGTGAGAAAGGACTCATTTGCAGTAATCAATGAGGCGTCCAAATTAAATCTCGCAAAGCCCCCACGGGCCCTCTTACACCCGAGCGAGGCTCGATGTTAATTCTTTGATACGTTTATTTTCGCTTTGCCCGTTTTATACTTTTGTAAGAAGACGAAGGAACACGCTTTCACGCACCATCGCCCTGCGGTGGACATGATCTAACGCTATCCGATTTTTAACGAGCTTTAAATCTCAGCCCACTAATAAATATGGTGTTGGCTTATACTTGCGTCGTTTTCATAGTCCGGACACAAAGAAAACAGTGATTATAGCACGCATTCGAGTGCCATTGAAGTTCCAAAGTATTCCATATAGTATTAGTATTCCATTGCAGGTATGAATTTAGGGACTTAGGGATTCGAATAGAAAATTATTAAACATTTTAAGTCTTACGTGCTTTTAACTAACAATTAGATCTCCGTAAATCCGTAATTTTTTCTGATTTAAAATTTCCATATAAAGAATAACGTCATGGAAACAAAAGTTCATGAAAACAGCAACACGATTACAATGAAGCGGAGCTTTGGGAAATGGAAATTTATAATGCGTTGGTGGCATCGCTCGGCGCTCGGGCTGAAAGGGCTGAAAGGGCCGAAACGCGACGCAGCGGTCGACAGGTGCACGATTTTTGTGCGCCCACTTTGCAGTCGTATTCTTTTAATTGAACCTATATTCATTAATGAACAGGAATTAATATTTATTATTTTCAATGTTCTTAGCGTTTACATTTAATTCTTTAAGAATTATTTATCAAATTGACTTGTTTTGTTTGTGACTTGATATTGATATCATGCTAAAATTCACGCTTTATTTCGTCATTTAATGATTATTCTTCGCGCAAGTAGGTTAGTCGCTCCTCTCTAGGTACTAGTTTCAACAAGAATATAAAAAACGTTAGATAAAAATAACATTATTGAAGCTTTGTAGCTAGTCTGTAATTAAAATTCGCTCAGTAGACGAGTGTAACAATTTGTCCTTTCTGCCTGATTTTATCGTAAATCTTGTAAGAGTTTTGTAAATGGGCCTTTATACGTCAGTCTTAATCAAAAGGGGTCTTGAGCAAAACGTATGTTAATGTTAGTTATGTTAATCTTGCTGTTACTTCTATTTACCAAAGTTTACTCCAGTATCAATTCAATATGTCACTAACATTCTCCTATATTTCCTACGTCTTGGCTTACAATAATTCGTTTTCACAAGGAAATATACATTTACAATTGCTGATGTCCTTGAGTCAATGACTCCGCGTGTGTGCGATTATGCCGCGGCACGTGACCCCGCCACGGATCGAACCGCTACGTGATATTCGGACGCTGTGCACGCCGAGATGATACTAAGAGCCTGAGAGCAGACACTAGTCTAACGCTCGAGTGCCGGAAGGAATTGATTTTGTTCTAATTATGCGTTTGTCTCGCGTCCGTACTATGTCGTATACTGCGTTCTGTTTACTTTGGCGATATAAGTTTAATTTTTAAATCTTATGGTATTCTTGTTATATTTTTGTTATTAAATTAGTATCGTGTAATCTATTCCCTCTTTTTAAAACTTAAATTCAACAATAGACAAAGGACAATATTAACCTTGAATTTTTTCTGTGGTTTTATAGTGATGTAAGTAAATCTACATATATGGCTTTACGAAGCATTAGCTACCGGCTATGATTTCCTAAAGCGTTAGTCGTTTCGACAAAGTCGTGTGATTATTAGTAACCGGCGTCGAAGCGTTCATAATGGGGCTGGAAACTGACTTTTGTGCCGGCGCCCTGTTTGTTCGCGCTTCGCCGGATGGCGGGAAAATGCGCCATTGCAGCGTGCCACTGACACAAATGTTTCGTTATTATTCTTCGTTTCCCTTGTGCAACTTTCTTTGTGATAAATGAGAATTTATGGTACTGGTATATTGATGCTATTCATATTTTCCCACGAGCGGGATGTTAATTACTATGAAGTCGCACTCAATTGGTCATCTGGAAGTCGCGTCGCGGAACACTGCGCGTCAAAATTTATTAATGATAATTTACAATATGAATCTAAGGTATGAGTAATAGCGCATGTTTCAAATACCTTTAATTAAAGTTCAAATATCTTTAATTAAGGAAAGTAAGATCCTACTATTGGAACTGTATGTCACATTTTCTGTGAAGTGAAATATGCTAAATAGTATTTTTCGTCGTTAAAGTCGTTAAATATTTTGTGGTCAATGGTTAATTGCATTAAAATAGATTTAAGTAATGATTAACTAAAGCTTTCATTGGAATATCACCTGTGAGAAATCCCTTATCAGCATCAGGGCTTGATAGTTTTTGCACTTTCTGTCTATCCGTGTGAGTTTATTTATTTTCTTTATAATGGCAAACGTTTTCTGTATCATTGAACTTAACCGTTGTTGAAAGGATAAAAGCCCGATAGGGGTTCCGCGGAAATGTCGCGCTTGTTTGATGTCAAGGTCTGGCACCGGGCCTGCTCACCCGTCAGTAATGTCCTTAAATGCCAGCTCAGGCCAGTACGCGCGGGCCTGAAATGGCATTCATGCTTCCCCCATGTCAGTATGGTTACTGGAGACGAAAGATTGCACACGCAGTACATATTCCAGTTGTTGCACAGGCAACTCTAGTAACGGTTACATTGTTTAATTATATCCAAGCTATCGATAAATTGCCGATGACTGCCAACTATAGGTCAGTTAGAAAGGCAACCACAAAGAAGTGTGATGTAATCGATTTATTTGTTTCATTGTTTTATAACAATATCAAGTTTTGTACTAATTACATTCAAAAAATCACTTAAATAATTCTCGATATACAGCGTGTCTTTACAATCGCGACAATAAATGAACACACATATAGGGTATAACTTTTTAAAATTGTATTAAACATTTACATTCTTTAAACATCAATATTTACAGAGTTATTAAATTTTCCAAAACAAAGAATTTTAGAACAACCTTACGTATAAAACTGTAACGTAACGTTCATTTGTAAAGGTCACATAGCATATGAATGGGTTGAATGAATTTAAAAGAGACAAAACATACTGTTAGAAGGAGAGGCTTGTAATGCGACGTTGTGGCGCGAATTGTATAGGATGTTACAAATTTTGTTTCTTTTTTACTTAATTAATTTGTTTGAAAAATATTTTTTTTAATTATGGATTTTGTTTAACGTTAATATTTTTTTATGATTATTGGCAAGTAGCGTTAGACATGTGTTCATTTATTGTCGCGATGGTAACCACACACTGTATAAAGAAATGCATTTATACCAGGAGCAGCAGCAAAAAGCCGGCAGATACAGATGAACATATTACATATGGGTACTTGGTTACACAATCATAATGCTTTCCTTAAATGTAAACTCATACTACCAGCGGATGCTATACTTTTTTTTTTTTTATTATTCCTCGAAAAACTCGTACATGCACTGTACGAG